AAAAAGGCAGGCAGAGGACATTGCTAATAGTGTATCAAGATTTAAAATCCACATTATTCTTGCTGCTGTTTAGTTTGATTATACTGTTCCAGTCTGTCTGCTTGCATTAGAGGGCACAGATAGCTATCCCAAAAATAGCAGGATATGTTATGGTAACCATCCTTAAAATCCCTATTAACTTAATCTGAAGTCCTGTATTACATTGTCGTATTAGGACTGATCTTATTTGAATCTGGTTTGTTAGATCGTTGTTTTGTCTTGACTGATTTTTATTCGAATTTGTTATGATTGATAGTATCAAGTCTGAGGGTATAGGCAAATACTCCGAAGATGACAAGATTCATTAAGATACCCACTCTGGTTTGACTATTACCTGCTTTTGAAGTCTTATAATGTCTCCAATATTTTGTTTTTATTAATATTGTTATGTACTACTATGTTCAATTATACTACGCCTGATGATATAGACAATTCTATTGAAGATAACAAGAGACATCATAGTAACAATTGTAGATCACCTTGTATTGTGGTTTCTTATGTCTTTTTTATTTCATGTTTTTCTAGGAATTTTGTCTTGTTTTGTTTTTCCCTCTAACACAGAAAGGATAGATATACATGTAGAGACTCATGCATGCATAGAACTTCTAAACAGTTTATGAGAACTGATTATACAATGCACAATGAAATGAACAACTACTTTGAAGAAAGAGACACTAAGGTACCCAATGCTGATTCCGTAGTGTCATGATGTGAAATCTAGCAACACTATTATTCTTTGTTCAGAGTGATTTTGGTCTGTTTGTTTTGTTCAGTTTCAATACACATGAAGGTATGGACAGCTATTTGGAAGAGAGTGAGAGACACTGACAGCCATCGTTGACTTTCCTACTGTCTGGTCTTGAAGACCTAAAATGCCTTCATCATCCTCAGTTTTATACTATGTTGTTTTGTATGAATTCACTGTATGTGAAGACATGGACAACTATTTGGAAGAAAACAAGAGATAATATAATAGATAGTGAAGATCTCCAGTTGTCTTGCTTTGAAATCTGTGTCTCTTACATTATTTTATGTTTTGTTTGTTATGTTTAATTTTACCCTCTTTAAAACTTAAAAAAAAAAAAAATTCCAATTCACCCAGTTAGTCCTTGTCTATGTATCTTCCCAAAAGAGCTAACCACATCATGTTACAGATATACATGCAAACCCATGCTTATACACATATAATTCATAAGAGGCAAATATTGGCAGCCGTCTATATGTCCATGGAACAGAGAAAATGCAGCACTCACACACAGTAAGTGATAACTGGTCATCTGAGGAAAAACAGGTGCACCTTGCGACTACACTTTTGTCTTTTTGAAACAGGTTCTCACTATGCAGTTCAGGCTGGCCTCGGGCTCACCTTGTAGCCCAGGCTGGTCTCGAACTCGCAACGATCCTCGAGTGCTGGGATTACAGGCATGAGCCACCACGCCCGGCTACCTTGCGACTATACTAGTGAATTAAATCAGATGTGAACCTCAAGTGGACTGACTTTCCAGCCCACAACCTGCGTGCCAGCAGAGGCAATATGTTCAGCAGGGAACTTGGCCCAGCACCACTATCATTGGCAAACACAGGATGTTGTAAAAGAGGTAAGATAGGACAAGGTATCTCGTAGGTCCTGGGACATCTGGAGACAGCTGAAAATTTACACAACACCTTTAAGGACTTTGCCCACTGAGGTGCATGGCTGCCAGAGAACTTTGACCACAGATGTTTATTAAAATCCTCCCACCCACTGTCCTTTGCCTTCTTTAAATCCCTATAAAAAACGCCCGCTTCCCTTTGTTCCCTACAGATGGCCTTTCACCCTGTCTTCCTGCACTCAGGCACAGGAAGTCCCACAGTGCTGTCTTTACACAAGCCTGGCACTCTTGGCTGGTCTCTGCCTCATGCCATTCCTTACAAGATACACAAGCTTAAGTAAAGCATGGTTTCCCTTATATGAAAAATCTGACATATAAGTAATTTAAAGAACAAAATAAAAAATAATAGGAAACAGATCTTTTTCAAATGTGGAGAGGATCCAGAAATGTAACGCGTGGCATGAGAGGGCAGAAGAGAAAGCAAAGAAAGGGTGGATGGACAGGTACATGCACCAATTCCCCGGGACAGATGCACTGTGTATGGCGCACTCATTTAACCCCAGCGAGGGCTGCCCTGAGTGCTCTGGCCGCGGTGGGAAGACGGTCGGCACAGGCGGGTGAGCAAGCCCAGGATGGGGCATGCGATGCTGAGGTGGTTTAGTGCCAGGCATTTCAGGGGCAGGTTTCTTCAGTGGAAGTGAAATCATGTCCATCTGGACACGTTTTTTCTTTTTCTTTCTCTCTCTCCATTTTTTTTGGGGGGGGGCGGGGGAGTAACCAGGGATCAAGCTCACAATCTTACACTTGCCAGCCAAGTGCTTGTATGGCTGAGCTAAACCCCTTTTGGACACCTTCTTTCTGTTTTTAGTGCTGGGTAAGGAGACTTTGGCCGTAATGGATTCCATAATCCACACATGCCTCACCGAGCATCTGAAATGCAAAAGGCAAGCGTGCCTCCTGACCACAAGGACAGGCGCCCCTGATCACAGTCCCTGCAGAGGAGGTGTGGATGCCATCAAAGCAATGTCAAGTATTTTGGTTTTGTTTTTGGTGACAGTGGGGACTGAACCCGGAGCCTCACATATGCTAGGCAAGGGCCCTGACACTAAGCTACATCCCCAACACTTTTAAATTTTGTGAGACAAGGTTTTTGTGGAATTGCCCAGGATTGACTCAAACTTGCAATTATCCTGACTCAGCCTCCTGAACAGCTGGCACTGACAGGCCAGCCTCTGGGACCAGCAAACTGTTCTGTCTTGGACAGACACACACAGCTAACAAGGGCAAGCAGCTGTCAAGCAGAGACTAGCCTAGTAGCTGGCCATTCTGGGAATTCAGAGGGAAAGGAAGGGCACAATGCATAGGGTAGAAATTCACAGAAGGCTCCCAAGCCACTGAGCTGGTTTTACAGAGAATTCATAGAAAAACGGTGAAGCAAAGCACCAGAGGAGGACAGCAGGCTGGGGGCTCAGGTAGAAGATGCTGGCAAAGAGACTGGAGGGAACAGGGAATCAAGAGTGTTCATGAGATGAGTCTCTCCACTCAGAGCAGGGAGAGCACAGGCTGCCCCAGACCCACCAGCATGGAACAGCTTAACTGAGCTACAGTCTGCTCAGTGGCTAACCCATCTCCACACATCCAATGAGCACCAACTTGGACTACTTAACACTTCTGCTAATGCTAAGAACATGAAACACACTGGGGAGAAAAGGCAGGCTGCTGAGCCATGAGCCTAGCAGGTAAGAACCGCCCTGGAGCATGTGGGGCCTGGAGGCTGTCTACCTCTACAAGGATACAGAAGTCTATCAGTGAAACTCTTTAGGTGGAAGCACATACTATTTTCTTTAACTGCTTTTAGAAGAGATTTATAAGAAGGAAGTGAGAGGTCTGACAGCATCAGAGGAAGACCAAAGAGCTGGGTCAGAAAGCACAGGAAATCAGGAAGCTCCAATGGGCTTCACGACAGAAACCACAGAAATCACCTGGCACGAACACATAGCTAAGTAATGCCCCAGCTTCCTGCTGCGCTGCCTAGGCCAGCGTAAGCCAGGAGGGCCCAGCTCAGCGCCAGACACCTCTATGTGCCGGCCCCTTGCATGGGGAAAGGGGTGCACTTTGTCTTACTGGCTCCAAAGACTGCACAGACAGGTGAGCAGAATCAACAAAGGAAGCTGCCTATGATTTTTTTTTAAATTAATGATTTGGCAAGTTCATGATGAACAAGCCAATAAATACAATGTAGGTACCTACATACATGTGTCAGTGTTCATCTTGTATTAGTCCAATTTTCTTGGATAAAACAACAGAACCTGCCTCTTGTTAGAAAATTATGTCCAGGAAAAATAGACAAAGTACGAAAAAGTAAAACAAAAATGACTAGAATAGAATATGAAAATCTCCTTGGATCAAAATTAGAAATGAAGCAACTTGGTCATATTGGGATAAAGTACCATGTCACAGATGTCCTTCCTGTCAGTAATCAGATCATGACAAGTTTCAGACTGAGGTTTGGTGCTCCCAAGTGAAGCAATCACAAGACCACCAGAGGCTGGAAAAGGTAAGACAAAAACACCATAATCAAATGCTAAGACACACAAGAAAACAATGCTAAGAGCAAAAAAAAAAAAAAAAAAAAAAGGGAGAGATTACAACAGGAATGCATTAGAGAACTACATGAAAAGGACCTTGAAATAATTTAGGTTAACAGTATTCCAAGACACAAAGGAAGATACACTTATATACCGCATGGTATAGTCCTAATCATGTGCTCAATTCTACTCAATCTCTGCAAACTACATTTGGATGAATGTCCAATCATGAGTGCCAAAGTAATATAGTACCTTCATTATGAATACCTTAACTTTGTATCCTCAAAGTACATGATCCAAACTCAAAACACAAAGGAATAAATCTATTGTATCCAAATCTAAGTTCATTACCAACAGAGTGGAAAGCCTTCACTACTGTGAGAAAACCCAACCCGAGCTAGGAATAGAAGAGCAGGGGTGGTCAGGGCAATGCTTGTCCCCAAGGACTCATGAGACAGCTTGTGTCATAGGTCACAGAAGTGCTACCCAAGGTAGCTCCTTCATCCCACTAACCCATTAACTGAGGCCTCAGGGTTACCACAATGCCCAAGGAAGGGGCAACCAACGGGGGGGGGGGGGGGGGAAGAGCTGGACCTTACCTTCTCGTCAGTGTAACTTTCCTTATTTGGCACAGAGTACAAAACCGGCCAAGGGACCCATTAATTATGACTCCCAAGTAGGTAACTCCAGGTGTGAACCCAGCAGGCACACACAGACGTGCACACAACTCTCTACACAACACAGCCAAGCACCCACACAAAACACTGTGAAACAACATGACTTAGGAAAGTAGCACTGTTGCCAGCACTGTTTATTTATTCAGTCCACAGCTAAGGCCAGAGCGTTAGAGCAGTGTTAGAACGCAAAGCAGTGCCTGCCCTTAAGGGGCTCACAATCTTGTTAGAGAAATAACCGGTTACAGAGACGGAGAGACCACAGGAAAGCTCATGCCAACAAGTGCCACTGGGCTGCGAAGGCAGCATAGTTTACAAATGCGAGGTGGATTGGGAGTGATGTCCCAACCTGCTAAGTGCGATGACTGCTCTGCGTTTATTACCCCAGCTGGACAGAAGTGGTGCAACTCGGAGGCCATCTGCAATGGTTCCCATCACAATTTGGATCGAAAGCAGAGGAAATTTTACCGAGGTGGCACCGAGCGAGCAGGACTTGGACAGAAGGCAAAGAAGGCATTTCAGACAAGAAAAGCAGCACTGAGGTAGGTGGAAGCAGGGGCGTTGGCGGGGAGATGAGCAGGTGTGAGGTAAGCAGGTGGCAAGAAGCGAACTGCAGCAACCCTTGGGCAGCACCCACGGGGGAGCTGCAGGCCTCACGGTCACAGCCAGCAGCTACAGTACATGATTCCAGAGCGAAAATACCACAGAGCAACGGCGGTACTTTACCCAACATTTCATTCTATTTCTACAAAGTATAAAATAATTTATCATAGCTGTACAGTTCAAAAGGACCCCCACAGGCCATCTCAATCCTCAAAATGTCAATCAGCTCTGAGTTTACATTCAGAGTAAATATCACATGGTCTCTTAATTCTGAAGGACTCTCCCAGTGATTCCAGCATTTCTTCTCTACTCTGTTCCAGACATTGGAAATTAGTCTGAGTTGGCCAGGTCTCTGGCATGGAAGACCTGCGGCCTGGCAGGTGACAGGCCCGACACGGTCACTTGGTGGTACTCAGAGGCACAGTGTGCCCAGCACAGGCCGGGCCAGGCTGTTATGGGTGCAAAGACAGAGCCTCCACGTGCAGCAGGGTGCTGTGGCAAGGGCTAGAGGAGACAAGGTGGCTCCCAAGACAGAGAGTATGGGGCCAAGGCTTGGGGGGGGGGGGGAGTAGCCAGTGACACCCTGCCCAGATTCAACCTCACTTCAATGGCTTGGATCCTCCACTACACTAGCATTAAGGAAGGGATAGTAAAGAAAACAAGCAGTCAGGCTCTGTCAGCACCCAAAGCAGTTACTGGAGGCCCTGCTCAGCAGACTGGGTAAGCCCCCACCTGCTGTCTGACCCTTCTTGGAGGATCTGCTCCCCTCGCAATAGAGCTGGGAGTGGCAGGGGGGACGGAGAAGAAACAACTGGAAATGCACAGGCACAGTTGATCAAGTTACCACAGGGAATGTGCTGTGTCTGCAGATTAAGAACAGTCTTTTCCAGTTTCCCAAAAGTGCCCAATTTGCATCAAAATGTTAGAAAGGGAAAAGTATAGAAAACTTGTATTATTTTCCACTAAACATCAGTGTTACAAACACCATAGGATTTCAGACCCTATCTTCGCACAATTAAGATCTAACCCAAGTTGCATTGCTTAGTTTAAAAATGAAAGATACGTGTATGTCAAGTCTTAGGTTCTTAGCTCCTATCAAAGTGTGACAGTACATGAACAAATTGCCTCAGGAAGAACACACAGGAGAAGGCAGACACAAGGAAGGTAGTCCTTTCGGGTCTACACTGAAGTTCAGTTCCACATAACATTATAAAACCATTCTACAAAAGTAACATCTTCTTAAAATTCTGTTTTATCATGAAGAAAATATATCAATTTGTTTAACATTCATTCTTAAGTTACAGTTACATCAGTACAATCTGCATCTAGAATAACCCTAAAACCAGACATATACATGCATATGCACGTAAGATCTCCTACATTCCTAAATAAATTACATGCATGATACATATTAACCAATAAAGAATACCAATGAGAATTCAGAACATTTATTTTTTTGCATGGAGATTGAACACTGTACAACACACACAAAAAACAAACCCACAGAGCAACGATGTATAATTAGGTAGTGCAAGACACTAACATATTTTAAATGCCTATAAACAGGCTGTTTTTAGGCAACAAAATACTGTTAGTCCTTGTCATCTTTTCACGCTCACTTAGCACCAGATGCAAGGACTATACAGTAAGAGCGTACAATCTCATGCTTAAAACCTAAAGCATGCAGCAAATTAAATTTATACACTGTAATCTCTATAATAATGCAATACATACTTCTTGCTAATAGTCTGTGTGTTAAATTACCCTGCAGCATTTTGAAATTTTAACATTTATGCAAAATAACTTTGAATTCAAAGATTTATGAAACAAGTTCCAAGATGCACCTCTAGGCTGGTTTGGTTAAATGGAAAAATGACAACAGCCTCAAGGCTCAGACTGAATGAAAATGGTTTGTGTGCATGTCAACCCATGTTTAAAACAAACAGAAAACAAAAACAAACGGCTACACACACAGATGGCACAAAGGGTTGTGCAGCCGGGATCACCAGTGCAAATGCATGCATTTGAGGTACTTATTTTCTCCATGGTCAGGTATAACTATGCATAGTCATGTTCCTCAAGGGCTAAAGATCTGAGATCTGATCAAATGAAAAGCATAGTATTTACATAGCTAATTTCAAAGTTCTATGCTTTAATGTAGGTTTAGCATTCCAGGCTTATATATTTAAAGATATTTACCAAGCAGTAAGTTTTCTCATTGTACAAAGACTGGCAATTATACCTGGCCAAGTGACTTAAATAGCATACTTGAAATTCTTGCAAGAACTGTAGTGAAGAGTAAAATACTTCGTTATTGCTTCAGTGGACTGAGAAACCCAACGGCCGAGATAAGCAACGCTCAGCGATGGAAAGTGACCCCAGGACGGCGGTGAGCACCCTGTAGTCTAGGCACTCTCCACATTATCGATGCCATTGGCAGCCACATGGTGGTCAGGATCCCCACACAGGGATGAGGGGGCAAAGCGGCTAACGGTGGGACACAAGCAGCTCTTAAGCTCAGGCAATTCCTGCTTCAGGCGCTCCAGCTGCTCCACTTGGAATATATTTGGCTGCTCAGGCATCCAATCATATATCCTGTGATAAAACAAACACAAAAAACGTAAAATAATATCATGCTGTGGCTTTAGGTCTGCCTGACTTAACCTCTTCATATGAGAATTCCTTCCCAAAATGCCTCAATCATCCAAGTTAGTTTTTGTTTTGTCTTAAAGATGAAGAAAGGCCTATAAAATGCTAATGGAAAATGATTTCTAATGCACAATCTGCCTGTGTCCAGCTTTGACATTTCCAGGTACCTACCTAAGAGCTTGTCTTCTTTTTTTTTTACTGTACAACCCAGCAAAGAGCTTGTCTTCCTTATTCAGGGAATGCAGAAGGATGTGTTCAGTATCAGTGATAGTGACAAAAGATGAAAAAGATTTGGGCAACAGGAAGCTGGAGGTGGCAGGCAGAAACGCCAGCAAGCAGAGCTCTAGCACAGGCCTGGGCTGCAGAGGCAGAGCCGTCTGTCTCAGAGCCATCCCGGTGAAGAGAATAGTCAAGGCGTCTTCCTAAGAGGCTATGGACACCCATGACCCTCGCGCGATGAGCGCTCGTGAGCATGAACCAGTCTCCCTCCTCACACTCAGCGTCTGAACCATGTGCTATTAGCTGCCAGGCTGGCTCCTGAGAATGGGTGAGCTGCACTGACCCAGGAAATTCAGAGCCCCCTCCAGATGGCCACCAAGTCTCCTTTTAGCATCTAATGCCTGAATCACTGGCTGGAGTCTGAATGTGCTCAGCCTGAGACTTGGTAGGTCACAAAGTTAGTTTAGAAAGTTAAGATTCACATTAAAGTAAATGCACATGAACAGAAAGTATTCAATGAGCATTACCTTTAAAATTCTGTTAGGTACACGCTTGTATACATACATATCGATGTGTACTGTGTTGTAACGTGAAACGGGACTGCCCTGGAAACTTTATATAACACTGGGCATAACAGCCAAACAGGGAAACACTCCAAGTGTTTTTATCTTTTTATTTGGCAGCGGGGTTGGTTTAAGATAGCCCTCACTGCCTAGTTCAGGCTGTCTCTGGGCTCCCTATATAGCCCTGGCTGGCCTTGAATTTACAGTAATCCTCCTGCCTCAACTCCCCAAGTGCTGGGATTATGCTGGGTATTTGCCACCACACCTGGCTTCCTAAATGTTCTTAAATAGCAGAATAAACAATGGACTATCATATACCTTTTTTTTTTTTTTTTTTAACTTTTTATTGGCACCGGGGATTGAACTCACGACCGCCTGCTTGCAGGGCAGGTGCTTATGCCACTGAGCTAAATCCCCAGCCCCGGACTATCATATACCTACAAACATTATTACTATATAACTAGTATGTAAAAATATGGATTAATTTTAACAACATGACAAAAGTATAAAGTTAAAACCAAATAAACTTAAATGATATTGTTTAGGGATAGAAATAAAGACTAAAAAAAAAATTTTTTTTTTTTGTTTTTGTTTTTATCGGTACCAGGGATCGAACTCACAACTGCCTGCTTGCAAGGCAGGCACTTTATGCCGCTGAGCTAAATCCCCAGGCCCAAGACTAAAAATTTTTAAGGGGATAATTTGATAAGCAGTTACGTCAAAGATAATGGAATGTATGACAGCACACAAGGACTTCAAAATCACTGGTAATGTTTAAATACAGACATTTGATTACTTTAAAAGATCATTTGGCAGACACAAGTAATTGAGTTAAAAAGAAAAAAGAATTAACTGACTGAGTCTAGTACCATGAGTATCAAAACTAGGTAACTCTCCTCATGATCATAAATGCAAAACTTTCCCAAAGACTTAGATACTATTTTTTATTATAAATCTTAGAGAGTTATTTGGGTTTGAAGATTATGTACATGCAGTTATTTGATTACACTTAAAAATTCCACAAAGCTCCATCCAGTGAAGTCACTCTTATACGGTGCACCCTACTTTTCTGCAGCCCCCACAGGAGCCAGCGCAGGGTTCTCATGAAGACTTCAATATCCTGCCCAATTCACACACCTACCTCCATCTAAATTGCAGCTCTCGCATTTTCAACTCAGCTCTTCTTTAAAAACATGACAAGAACTTTCTTTAGCATCTAACATATCACATAGTATCTTTATCTTCCCATTTTCATCAGTATTTGCCTCCAAACAGTAATTGTGCTTGAGATGATGTAGGCCCTCTATGCTGTACATCGTATCATCCCAAAGGACCCTTCTCCAGCCTTAAAACAGCGGCATCACCCTTTCCTCCATATATACACACATATCTTCAAAGATTTGCAAAAGATAGCATCTCCTTTTATTTGTTAAATTCAAAGTTTAATTTTCATTTAGTTGAGAATGTCTACTAAAAAGGGCCACAGGTCATGCTGCTTCATGTAAAAGTTCCCAAGTAGTTAAAAACAGTCATTTGAGAGGGAATCTCAAATTCGAGCTATGAGATACTCAAAACCACTACTCAAAAATCAGTGTAGTTCAGACAAAGCTGTGAAGAAAAATGAGCCAAAAAGGCTTTATGAAAAGTGGTAAAGAAAACAAACGAAAAAGTGGTAACCTTTCTCAGGACACAGTAATATGAACTACAGGGAAGCAAAGTATTTTTACGAGCAAGTATGGCAAGGATTTTATATTTTTTCTTTGTAAAGCTGCAATGCCACCTGCCAAGTAAATGACATTCTAACCCCAAACTTCTTTATATATCAAAGTAACCTTTCTGCCCCTCAGACTTACATAATGAAAAACCAAGAGAGCTCTATACAAATAAGAATTCCTACAATGAATCATACACTGTGCTGGCCTCTGGAGGGAGTGAGCCAAACTGGAAGAGGCCTTGCCCTTATGGAGCTAATGATGTCTGCCTACCCACCAGGAAAGGGGAAAAAGAGTCGGAAGAAACGTGCAAGGAAGAAGCCAGACAGGAGATCCTGGGTCCATGTACCATTTTCTCACAGGGGACCTCTCGAGGTGTCGGGTCACTCTTCCCAGGAATCTGCCTCTGAAGATAGGGAAGATGCGGGAGACAAAGGCAAGGAGGAGGAGGTCTGGCGGGGGTGTGGAGGAAGGAATCAGCTTCCTTTCATAAGGGGCCCTGTCATGATTTTGGCTTTTCCGTTAGGTGACAGAAGCCCTGTCTTCTGGGTGAGCACATGATCTACCGAGGTTAAAAAAATTCCCTTTGGCTGCAGTGTGAGAACAGACGCGGATGGAAGGGCAGAGGCAGAGGCCAGCCTACAGATACTGCAGTATCTTGGGAGTCAGAGCCAACAAGATCTCCCCTCTGCCTGGTCTGGGGTATGAAATGACATCTGCGCAACTAAAACCACTGGGTCTAAGGGCAAGAGACCGGTCTGAGTGGGAGACAAGCGATGTGGGGAAACCGAGTAAAGCAAAGCTGCAGACCTGGACTGAAGCCACTGAGAAAGCCGGCAGGCAGCAAACAGGTCTAGGGAAGATGGCTACTCTCTGTCCCCGCAAGACAGTTCATGCATCTGAGTTAACAGCCTGGCACTTCAAGTTTAAGTGGTTCTGATATATTTCCAAGTTTGAAAAAATTATAAAGGTCAAGAAAACCTCAAGCTGAACTACAGAATTTTAACTAAGTTTAATTTTATTTGTAATTTAAAAGATGATTTATAATTTAAAAGCTATAGTTTTTCTAACATTCCAGGGAGATTTTTTATGCAAAACAAGTACCTATCATAAATTAGACCATTAACTCCATATTCTCTCAATTTTCTTCTGTTTTCAGGATCATTGGTGTCATCACCCCAGCAGAATATGACAAGGCCCTTCGCTTTTGCCTCCTGAATATAGGATGGGTTTCTGAGCAGGTCTTCAGTATGTGCATTTATGCCCTGAAAAAAGAAATTGTATGTTTACATAATAAGTAATGTAATTACTGCAAATGCTAAAATTCATACTCTATAGAGATTAGGGCTCTCTAAAGCAGACAGGAAGAGAAAAGGTTAGAATTTTTTCTCAGAATTATCCTATTGTTTATAATGGATACTGCATATATACAACGTTTCGTTTTTTTGTTTTGTTTTAGTTTGGTGTTTCTTTGGTCTTTCTGAGGCAGGGTCTCCCTCTGCAGTTCAGGCTGGCCTTAAGCTCACTTTGTAGCTTAGTCTGGCTTCGAATTTGCAGCATTCTTCCTGCTTCAGCCTCCTGAGTGCTACTGGATTACAGATGTGTGCCAAGCCCGGCTTTTACAATGTAAAAAAATACACATGTATGTTATTTATTTTTGTTGAGACTGGGTTTCACTATGTAAATCAGGCTGCACTTGAACTCACTGTGTAGTCCAGCTGGCCTCCTACCTCAGCCTCCCAGAGTACTGGGACTACAAGCATGCACCATCATGCCTGGTTTTAATTTATACACACAGATGTTGTATGTAAGGACACATGTCTAAGTACTTGCTTGTTACACATTAGTTAGACCTTTAACTAGTAAATGTGTAAACTAATAAATTGTATTTACGATAGTTCTAAAAGACAGAGACATAGGAAAATTAAAAGCTAAAAGCTCAAATGTAACTTACCAGAAGATTTTCAAACTGTGCAAAGCTCATTGCAATGGGGGTGGTCCGACATCTGAGGTCCATAAGTTCAGGGTAAATATCAGATTTTCCTTGAGTCAAAAATAATATGGGATATTTGTTCTGCTTTTGTCGAACCCTAAAAAAGGACAATTTAAAAAGTATTTGCCATGGACCCTAATTGTAGTATTTTTTGAAATTTAGAAAACATTAAAAATATAAAGAAAACAAAGCAAAATTTAAAATATTCCATTGCTTAAGTATAACCACCAACTATATGTGCTGTCTTTTAAATTTTTCTACATTATGGCTAAAACTTTCTCACAAGTGGGTGATAGGAAAGATTTGAGGGATATAGTGTGGGTAGGCAAACACTGCACTGGGTTTGCAGGGGTCAAGGTGTCCCTGGAGCACTGAGGCAGGGACAAGAAAACATGCGTAATTCGAGGAGAGGCCAAGTAACGGGGAAATCTGATGACCAGCGTCCAGTGCTTTTACCTTAAGCTAATTCTACATGTATAGAAGAAAAATTCAGTATTACTCACATTGTACAAATATCTGCATCAAATGAAGAAAACACAATTCTCCTTTTCCCCGAATTTTCTAAAACATTTTTTAGAATTATATCCAAAAACAGATTCATGTCAAAATATGTGGACAAGTTACCATCCCACATTCCATCCTACGTGGAGAAAAAGGAAAATGAAAGCATTACACCCTCTAGAATCATAGCACTGAAAACAAAAATAAAATCAAAGATTCTTGAAAGCATGAAGTCTAGCTCACATTTAAGTTTTTTTAAAATATTATTTCATTGTTATTTCAGGTATGCAATAGGATATTACATCATAGTGAAAAACCTACTAAATTAAGCAAATTGTTTATGACCTCAAATAGATGTCCCACATTTTTCTTTTGGTGGCGAGAGTGGCTAAGATCTATTCAGTGTGCACGGGACGTCTCTAGCTTTGCTCATCCTGCAAATCAGCTGCTTTGTACCCTTCCCACCTGACTCTTCCCTCATCCTCCTCCTCCTCTCCCTGACCTAGTAACTGCTGGAGGTTTTTTCCTCAATATTTCTGTATACTTTTAATTTAAAATTTTTACACATCACACATACAAGTCATGCAAAATGTGTCTGTGTGGCTGGCCCATCTCAGCACATAGCCTCCCACAGGCTTGTGTACATGTGGCAAATGGGGATCACTGCACTCTACTGCTGACCACACCGGTGGACTCAGGCTGTTTATAAACTCTGGCTATTATGATGCAGCTGGGGTGAAGATAGGAACACAGATATCTTTTACAAGGTAGAGCTTTCATTTATTTGGGTACATGTACAGAAGAGGAACTAAGGGGCAATATACTAGTTCTGTTCTTAACTTGTTGAGAAACCTCCATGTTTCTCATGATAGCTGTGCCCATCTGCATTGCTACCAACAGCACACTGAAGTTTCTCTTTATTCATATGAGGATCAACATAGTTAGCTATGACTTTTTGATTACAGCCATTCTAATGGATGTGGACTAGTATCTCATAGTGGTTTTGACCAATTTCCACCTCATTCGCAGATGAGGAAGCCAAAGACCCGAAGACGTGTCCAAAACCTCAGTTGTTTACTGACGGCACAGCAACCACAGTTCAGGTGCGGACATTCATATACAAAGGACTGCTAGACGTCACACTGCTTTGAGAACCCACCCTCTGTCCTTGAGTATATCCTTGACCTCTGTTTAACAAACCTTCTCATATCTCTTAAAAAGTAATTACTGGGGAGAATAAGGCAAGAGAAGCACAGTGAGTTCAAGGCCAGTCTGAACTAAAAAGTGAGACTCTATCTCAAAAATAAAAAAGGAATTAACTGTATTATTATATATTTTGTGCCAGGAATCAAACTCATTACCTCACACTTGCCAGGTAGGTGCTTATACCACTGAGCTAAATCCCCGGCCCTTAACTGCTATTATTAACACTTAAAGCTTTTGCTTTAATGTTAACAAAATCACCAAGAGTTCAAGACCAGCCTGGAATACATGGCGATGCTATCTCAAAGACACCACCACCACCACCACAATGAAAAACAAAACAAAAATAATGTGGCAATTCACAGTCTATTACGAAAGACATTTCATTTGTTAAAGGATATCCAACTATGAATTATCAGTTATAAAAAAACAAACTTACTTTATAAATTACAAAAATTAAACAAAAATTACTCTTAAAATATACTGCAAAATCTCACTCTGGGTTTTAGATACGTCAAGCACTCTCAAAAAAGTTAAAATAATTCAACAAATACAGGCAAAATACAAAGAACTCTGACATTCAAATTTAAATGCTTTAACTATTACTCTTTGAAATCATTCAGTCTTAAAAATAAGTTCAGAAAAGTTAAATCAGGTGTTAGGAAAATCCTGGTTGAATAGGACCAATTTAGCCTGTCACAAACAGCTTCAAACAGCCTAATTTGAAGGCAGTTAAGAGATTATTCTGACCAAAACAAATTCCAGGGTATTAGTGCAAGTGCCCAATTACAAGACCTACCTGAATTAACACTGAACATCCTGCCCCAGTCTAGTCCTCTGACCAAGCATTTTATCCATTTAGGCATATCCCTCATTGCTAATGTAGTTAATAGTCAACTCCAGGAAAACAAAGCTTTGTCTATTTTGTTCACTAGTTGGTCTCAGCACTCAGAAAATGCCTAGCCCATAGCAGTTTTTCAATACTTTTTGTTAAACAAAGAAATATGTAAATGTAGGAATGACTTCAAGAAATTCCCTTTCCTGAGGAACTACAACTAGCTGTTACCCAACAGAAAACTGCTTAGGAAATTTTTCTAAAACATACGCCTTTATGGAGAAGATGATTAAAAACTAAACCAGAGAGTTCTGACCATCTGTAAGTATGCCTAGAAACCACTCATATTAGTGAGCACACAATACATACACAGACTGAAATTTCTCAACTGAGGTACCACTTAAGTACTCACATGTAAGTATAGAATAGGTTTCATTAAAAAGGCTCAAGAAGCACTGTGCTTTGACAGAGGAAAATAAGATTTTAGTTTCACTTAATTCCACTGAAACAAAAAAGACTGAAAGAACTTTTCAAAAGTGAGGGTAGGGAAAAAAATGGGGGCAGGAAGGAGAAACACATCTGTATAGAGAATTACTCACCCTTTGTTGGCAGATCCACTTGATTTCTATATTAAAACCTACATCTTCTGGCAAAGACTCTAACACCTAGAGTTTTGTTTGTTCGTCGTAAATTTTGTTTTTGGTAAGATGGATGGCAGAATAAGGGAAAAAAACAATTATTACAAAAAGCAACCAATAAGGGTATCACTAGATAGGATTAATATTTTATATCTCAGTAAGAACCACTAATTTTTCTCATTCAAACCGCCAACCTAGTTGATAGCCTGGCTGACTTTACTGCTTTACACACAGGTATGACTGTAAAGTACGGTGAATGTTCGGTTCTATCTTTAGCTGTGCAGTCATGGCTGCCTCCGTGTCCTCAGAGCTGACTGAAAACATTTAACCTTTCATGAACATTATACTATGGGGAAGAGCCAGAAGTCACACCGTGTCGGATCTAGTACACAGGGTAGCTGAGGGCACAATGGTTATGTTTTTCATTTGACAGAAAATGCCATGTTTTGAATCCTTGTAGAACATGGAGGAAGACTTATGAAAGAAGATTGTCAGAATTGCTTTAGAATGATGATATAAGTAGGTTCAAAATGACAGAATACGTTAAGGGAGATTAATAGCAATGTCTTTTACTGTAAAGTTTTTTTAATTATCTAAACGTTCACCATAATTTTTGATATAAGAAAGTGCATGCCTGTTACCTCAGTACTCTGGGAGGCTGAGGCAAAAGGATCTTAAGTTCAGGCATAGCCTGGGTATTCAGTGAGACCTTGTCTCAAAATAAAAACATAAAAATATAAAGGGGCTGAGGATGAGCCAAACCATGGTGGCACATGCCTGAAATCCCAGCACTCAGAAGGCTGAGACACAAGGCTGCATTCTGGTGCTAAATTTCAGAATGCAGCCCAGAGATGGAGCACTGGTCTAGTATTAGGGTGCAAAGGGTAAGGGTACAATCATTCCAATCCATCCCAGTGCAAAAGAAGAAAAAAAGCACCTTTGCCTAAATGCACTCATAGCAGTAAATTACATTAGTGCGTCTTTGACACTGTCTTTTTAATAACCAAAATCAACTATTTAGGCAATAACAGAATTAATGAAATACCCTTTCCCTTGTTTTACTGAACCAACTTACCATCTTAAGAGAAGGAAATGGCTGGTTTTCAGAAAGGGAATTTTCCCCCTCAACTATAGATTCTGAAATTTTAAATGATGAAAATTCAGTAAATAAAATGTTACTGTATCAGTGACATCCTTTGCTAAACCCTAAAAAACAGCACATTCAAGTAACTTATGAGGTCCTTTTAGGAAATGTAAGATTTGTGAAAGTTCTTGCGTTTATTCATGTTAAGCATTAAAAACTACATTTGTTAAGCAAGTACACGTCATGAAGATTGCTCTGCCTCACTTGAATGCAAATGCTAGTCTGTGGTCCCAAAAGTGATTACTATCTTACAGAAACTTAACTACTGTACTTTTACAGGTAGTCAGAAGTGATCTGTTATTTCCTGAAGGAATTGAATTGCACCATTTTGCTAAGACTTCTATTTGAAATGTAAAACTCCGAAATTAAGATTAAGAGAAATCTATAGTTATTGTTGTGGCTTTTTCATTCAGTCTAAAAGAGATCATCTCTTTAAAAAACATGACAATATTTTTTCTAAAAGTGGAAAAAACTGAAACAAGCTTTTCTTTTCTAAAAAATAAATACCCCATTAAGCCCTACCCACTTGTGGGTATCATATACTCACAGACTAAAATCATGAAAAATTTTAATTAAGTAACTTAAAGCTCATTTTACTGCTAACAGTCATAAAATGTATCTGTCAATCTGTACAATCACATTTAGGATCTGCAGATAATTTTTAAAGTCTTAAGCATCTCACAATTTCTTCATAAATGTATTCACACTGTACGTTATCACAACTGCAAACAATGCCTATGCGGAACCCTGGTGACTCCACCTGATTCTCCTTGGAAAGAAGAGCAACTGTCTCCATTGTGGAGAAACTTGGCCCTACCTCAAGGTATTGACAGATACAGACCTGGCTAGGTTCTCTGTCCCTTCATTGGCTTTAAGCAATGTAAATTGGGCTGGCTGAGAGGCTCACATGTAATCTCTGAAGCAAGGCAACAGGTCAGTGTTACCCCACCCAGTGACTCCCCAAATACTTGGTTGAGCCAGGCAGGATGGAGAGCCAAGCTCCACAATGTTGGCTGGGACTGAGCCTCAAGAAAGAGGCTACAACTTCCCAGGACAAAAAGGACTGTGCCTCAGAACTGAAGCAACGATCCTGCATTATTAGCTACTACTTCGGCTGTTTTATACATCTTTCTTTCTTTCTTTCTCTCTCTCTCTCTCTCTCTCTCTCCCACTCTCCCTCTCGCTGCATATTGCAGAGATGGTCTCAGACCTCTTGCCTAACCTGGCTCTCAGGCAGTCATGTACTTCCTGCCATTCTCACTGTCCCTCATTCCAAAGCCACTCCCTTCATGGAGAATTAATATAACTCAGGTTGGGCCCTGGATCATGGCCTTTGTTTCAGTGAACCACTATCTTGGCTGCAATTAGGAAGCCTGGATAGGACTCCTTGACTCCCTAAAACGGTATATATGACTTGGTATCATATACACTAGATAGAGTCGATTGGAATTAATCATTAGAATTCCAGTAACTTTTCCATGGGATTACAAACATAAACTTTCCTGAACCCTGAAGAGGATGAGAAAGAGATCTCTAGAAAAACCTACTACACGTAGAGCACTACAAAAGTAAATCCTTGGGAATACAAAGCCATTTTCCTTGGCTTGACAGGCTTGAGGTTTCAAGAAAAAGATACAATATGAGCTGGAGATTTAGCTCAGTGGTTCAAACGCTTGCCTGGTAAGTGCAAGGTCATAAGTTCAATTCCTGATACCACAAAAAAAGGAAAAAAGGATACAATAAACCTCAAAGGAATGGTACAGGCTATTACATTCTATGGGAGCAGAAGACAAAATGAGACACAAGCTGAGGAAACTGAGGCACAGGGTAGTGGTGTACTGTAAAACCTGCCCAGGGTCACAGGTGGTAAATGATAGTGCCAATTCAAACCCCTCAGTCTAGATCCAGATTCTGTGCTACCCTACTCTGAAACAGCTACGCCTTTAGAAAGACTGATAACTTTACTGAAAGTTAACACAACTTGGAATAATTTTTGTCATCAAACTAAGAGAAAACAATAAAATGGTTACTCCGTGCATGACATATGCAGTTGAAAATTTATATATAAGTACCTCACATACATGAAATTACAGTAAGATGGCCCAGTAATACAGCCACTAAAATAACCTAGAATTGGAATGTTGTAATGCTTAAGGGAATAGCCTAAAAATGCTAACTATAGAATGAAAGCAGTGTTTTCATATTAGTGCATACCTTTCCGATCTTTAGATTTTAGTGCAGTCACATGAGAGAGCTATAAAACAGAGAAAATGCACTCAGAAATAAAGTCATAGTCTATCAAGAGACGGTTAATAACATGGTTAATCTGAAAATCTGGTAAATTAACAAAGATTATAAAATATAGAATTACCAGCTTAAGAAGAAGTAGTATATTCATAAGATCATGATCAAATACCCAAGGAGGGAAAGAATATAAAAACTTACAAGTTAGGAAATTGCTTATATTAACTATTTGGTTTAGGTATCGTACCAGGATGGGAAAAGGAACCATGTAAAATTAAATGTTAGAACAAAATACACAAACACCTCAGGAAATAAAACATGTGTAAAACCAACTACCATATGAGCATCCTATTGTAAAATGCAATAGAGTTAAATTAAAGGACTACCACAGGCTGCATGCAGCCTGAGCCTGAAGGGTCTACAAAGACTGACGGCCCGGCTTATTTGTGGGCACAGAAATAAAGACTCAGCCTAAACCACTTCTCCCAAATTAGAACAGAAAACTACAGCTTACTGTAAATGTACTAGATATACAGTCATCTGTGCATGCAAAGAAAACATTGTAATGTATTACAACAAGGACAAGAACCACCAATTCTGATGGTTAATTTACGGTTTTACTACTGTCATTACCTTTAATAACTGGAGTTGGTCAAAAGTCAGTTCCTTTACTGGAATTTCAAATAGTTCAACTGGATCAGCCTCAAATTTCTAAAAAGGGAAGGAATGCACCCCATTTAATTACTGCTGAATATTTACACTAACACAGCCTTCGTGAGAATTTACTGATAGGTGTAATTATGAGATGGCTATCATCACCTCATGCAGAAAAGCCCTTCTGAACCCATCACGGCCTTATAGCTTCCAGCTCTTACAATCAGACTATTTTTGGAAGTGTTGAAGGTCAAACTCAGGGTATCATGCATGCTTGCCAAGCTATACCCTCAGCAGTGCTGGCTTTTGTGCTTAGTGCAGGTCAGGAGTGACTGGAAGAAAACACTAGCTGGGAAGTAGTGGCCCTGAAGACAAACTTGAGACAGGGCATCGCTGCCCCTCCTTCTTGTCATGCTGTATACATTTTATTTGACACACGGCCATGCCACATGTCCAGGAAACCAACATGCAAGTATTATATAGCATCAGCTTTCTTAGATTTTTTTCTTTTGAGACAGACAGGGTCTCACTCTGCAGTTCAGCCTGGCCTTTGAACTTTATGTAGCCCAGTCTGCCCTTGACGTCAGTGATCCTCTTGCCTCAGCCTCCTGGGTGTTGGGATTTACAGGCATAAATAAACCACGATGCCCATCCATACAAAGATTACCTTCTGTCAGTAAATTTCTAAACCTTTTAAATTTAAATATAGTTTTTTTTTTAAAAAAAAAGCAGCCAAAAAGCTGGGCGTAGTATACACACCTGTTAATTCCATCACTCCAGAGACTGAGGCAGGAGGACTACCATGAATTCAAGGCCACTTGAGCTACACAATGAGAACTACATAGTGAGATCCTGTACCCCAACTCCAAAAAAAGCGCAGCCATACAAAGAAACTGCCAGGAAGGGAAAAATGCCCAATAAGCTATATAAGCATTTCTATTTAACAAGAAGCCCGGTCTATCATTTTTCCCCATAAGCAAATGTTCTTTATTAGGTTGTAACGTCTATCAAATATGGTACTGTTGGAAGGACTGCTGTCTTATGGAAATGAGTTAAGATACCACCAATAAATCATCAATCCAATGAATGCACTGAAAGCCATTGCATATAGATATACATATGTGTAGTATTTGTTCACATACATGGGTACAAACCTGCTTATGCATAAAGTTTTTCTGGAAGGATACACAAGAAACTAGTAAGAGTAAGGGAGTGAGATCAAGGAAAAGCTTTGTTTTGCATTCCATAACCTTTTGAACTGTATGCATTTTAAAAATAATAGACATGAACTGTACTTGTAAGAAAAAATTCCTACTACAGGAATGGTGTGACACACATCTATAATTCCAGCACTCAGGAGATTTGCCATGAGTTTGAGGCCAACATGGACTACATAGTGAATTCAAGGTAAGTTTGCATTACAAAGAGAAACCCTGTCTTGTCTTCTTCCCTGGGCAAAAATATAATTCAGTATGTTCCAATTAACTCATTTGAGTTCAACTTCAGGATAAGACAGAGACTGACAAAAACAGGGCAACTTATTTATTTATTGTTATTATTTGTTTTTTGAGACAGGGTCTTGCTATACAACTTAGGTTGGCCACAAACTTATAGCAATCCTCTTATCTGAGTCTCTCAAGTACTGGAATAACACGTAGGTGCCAATATGTCCAGCCTAAACTCAGATTTTTAAAATAAAATTCAGCCACAACAAAAACTCTATTTTAAGTATTCTACATTTGTACCATCTAAATTGGATTCATTTTCCCCTTTCTTCCTTCTGAAACCATTTTACAAAAACAGGAGAGGGTCTTCTTAATTCCTGATAGGACTTCAACCCCAAGACTAGTGGGAAGCCAAGTGCCTTGTTACACCCTTCTGTACAACATGCAGGGGCTGGCAGAGTCCTACGCCTTCTAGCAAACTGGCCTTAACTTGAAATCAACTCACCTAAAAATGATACCCATTACAGTTTTATGAGAAAGTACCAAGTGATCCTTGTGCTGGCTAACCTGAACAGTCAGTCTGACTGATCATGAGATTATTGGGGAGGTGACTAGGTCAGGGGCAGCCTGGGTAAACTCACTCAAGTTCAGAGCACATGTGCCTGGGAGGTGGGGCCTGCTGGAGTGGGGAGAGCCTTCAGAGGCGGCATCCCCTGCCCAGGTTCTCCTCCTGCGCTCTGCTCTGGCTGCCAGGTGAGCAGCTATCCCCTAAGGAGCCCCTTGGCCATGATGTTGCATAGTATGTTCCAAAGAGGCAGCTAGCCATGGTTTGAAAGCTTTGAAACTCTGAGTCAAAGCTAAACCTCTCCTCTTTTAAGGTATTCTGTCCCAGCAGAGGGAAGGCTGACTGATACAAACCTACTTGAAATCCCCGAGAAACCACTTGGTTCATTTGTATACTACAGTTTGAGGACTTAATTGGCAATTATATTTGCACAATGACAGTTTTGTAAAAACTCATATGTAGGGCCAGGGATACAGCTCAGTGGCACAGTGCTTGCCTGGCAAGCGTGAGGTCATGAGTTCAATCCCTGGTACCCAAATGAATAAATAAATAAATAAACAAAACCCTACAGAACACAGAGCATCTGTCATAGCTGTATTGTGCAGTGAAACAAAAACCCTAAATTTACACTCAAATCAAAATAGATGTCTTATTAATTAAAAAAAACTTCTATGCATTCCCAAATTCCATTCTGACTCTAGCCTCCAGGACACCCTTCTCTCTACCACCCTTGGCTCTTCTGCTCCTGGGATCCATGGGGCTTGCTCTTCTTGCCTCCCATCTGTGAGTTCTGAAATTTCTATCAATCACATCAATCAGCAAATACTGGGCTTGAGGCAGAGTTCTGAACAGTCCCCTTTTTGGATAAAGTGTTGTATATCTGCCTTTTAAATCCAATCCTCTTTCACAGAAGCCCTCCTCTATCTGACTCTTAACCATTTCTCTAATTTTCCACTGTGACTCCTTCTGCTTCAGCTCAATCATAATAGTTTATTAATTTGAGAAATAACATAAAGCAGAAATAGGGGCCCTGCAAACTAACACTGACACTCTTCTACAGCCTCAGGACAGCTGACATAATCTGGACCCAGAAACTGCCTTTATTGGTAGCATGAATTTGAACAGAGGCCCTTCTCTAGGACACCTGCATTTCTACCTTTCTTTCTCAATACTGCATGAGCCTGAGGAAGGAAAAGATTGACAATAATTCAACAAAACTTCGACTATTAAGTAACTAAAAATATAAAAGCTTCCTAATTTTTAATCTTTTACTTAATAGTAATTTTAAAATAAAGGAATATCAACATACCTTTTTCATGGTTAAACAACAGGTAAGATCATGATATACCACAGGCACAAAGTCTTTTGAAAGATGGACATCAAATTCTACAAAAGCTGCACCCTGAGAGAGTAAGGGAAACAAGCATTTGAAAAACACTGTCTAATGTACAATAGCTTTAGAAGTGCAAAGCTGTAAATCTGTTATTGGCTATAAAACTACAGATCCGTACACAAAAACAGAATTTCCTCACAAGCTACTCAAATTAATAACTCAAGGTTTTTGCTGAAGCAGTTTGTTTTTCTCTTTTGCAAAAGCCAATTTTTTCCTTTCTCTTAATATTTCTAAACTTTAAATTCATTACTGTAACCAGTTAAGATGTCATAAATGTACCATATTATTTATATCCCCCTAAGAGGGAGAAAGATGCTGCAATTAAATCATGACTCAGAGCTAAGCTATAAAACCTATTCCAGTTTCAGAGAAGTTAAAATATGAAAAGTACAATAGCTTAGAATAGGCCTTAGTTCATGTAAATACCTGACCAATCAAGTTTACTTGAACTATTTTTAAGAAAGCAAGTTTATGGGGCAGGGATATAGCTCAGAGACATGGCACCTGCCTAGCAAGTGCAAGGTTGTAAGTTCAATTCCTGGTACCAAAAAAAAAAAAAAAAAAAGCAAGTTTAAGGCTGGTGGAAGATCCAGTAAAAAAGTTTACTTACTGAATTATGTTTAAAGACATACACAGATTTATACTTTATGATTTGATGAAATGATGAAAGAAAGCATTTAAGAAATTTAATTTAAGAGCCAGGCATGGTGGCTCATGCCTGTAATCCCAGCACTAAGAAGGCGGAGGCAGGAGGATCATTGTGAGTTCGAGACCAGCCTGGGCTACAAAGTGAGCTCAAGGCCAGCCTGGGCTGCATAGTGAGACCCTATCTCAAAAAGACAAAAAAAAAAAAGAAATTTAATTTTTTTTCCCTTTTTATTGGTACCGGGGATGGAACTCATGACCACCTGCTTGCAAGGCAGGTACTTATGCTGCTGAGCTAAATCCCCAGCCCCAAGAAATTTATTTACGGCTTAATCGCAGATGCCCGTGTCCCAGCATCTGGGAGGCTGAAGCAGGAGGATCACCAGGAGTTTGAGGTCAGCCTGGGCTATATAAGCAAGTTCAAGGCCAGTCTGTACTACATAGTGAGACCCTGCTTCAAAAAAAGCTGGGAATTTAGCTTGTGGCATAAGCACCTGCCTTGCAAGCAGGTAGTCGTGAGTTGGATCCCTGGTACCGATTAAAAAAAAGACCAAATTAAGGAAACAAAAAGAAAAAAATGTGGTAGGCAGTACAAGCACAGACACACCTTTAACTCAACATTTAAAAAAAAACAAAAACCAAAGTTTGTAGATCAAAAACGATGCTTATGATTCTACTGTTTCCACCCCAAGTCTCACCATGGATCCAAATACAAATGTCAAGAGATTCTGGGTTTTCACAAAGACACATATTCAAAAGAAACCAACATTCCTCATTGTAGATTTAGAGTAGACTGCCCTGGGTCACATTTATCTACCCCAGGAGTTCAGAATTCTTTCAAGATTACTTACATGTGTAGCAGCATTTCTTAAAGAAGCAATAGTATTTTCTTGAACTTTAGCCAGCCTGAAATAGAAAAGAAATATACTTATCCTAGGATAACAAAAGAAACAAATGTAATAAAGTCAATACATTTTCAACACTGACAATAAATAGTATGTATTCTTTAAGGCTTTTTTTTGTCCCCAAAATATCACAGTGACTATACCTGACTACTGTATGCACTACTTCACAATGCAAGCTCTACCAATTATAGATACTGATATGCTGAAAACAAATATATCCTATCCTGAAACATATACCTCCCTGTACTACAGAATTTTTTTCTTAGCAACATGACATAACCAACTAAGGAAACAACAATCTTCAGTGCAATGAAGAAATGGAGACAAACTTGCTCCTTGTAACTTAATACTAGCAGACTACTGATGAACGGGAAATAACACACAAAAAGGGTAAAAGGATTGAAACCGTATTAGAACACAAGGAGAAAACTTTATTGCTTGACTGATAAAGGCCTGCGGATGCTTCTCCCTTAAATGGTAATTTGATTTCTTTCAGACTTACATGATCATAGCAATCACTGTAGGCCCCAAAGCTATCACAGCATTATTTATTTATTTAGTCTTTTTGAGACAGTTTCACTACGCAGTTCCGGGGGGCCTTGAACTATTATGTAGCCCAGGCTGGCCTCAAACTTGCAGCAGTCCTTCTGCCTCAGCCTCCTGAGTGCTGGATTACAGGAGTGTGTCACTACACGAGGCACAGTATCATTTTTAAATCAAAGGGGAGGGATTAAAATTTACAATAGAAAGCCAACTGCAATGAGCTATGTTACTGATACCTGAACATAAACTGAAACTTGGAAAGGAAAGACAATTAGTGTTAGGCTGGAATTTGTGCCTGCTGAGAAGAGAAAAGGGCCATCTTTACCTGTAGGAAGAGCTAACATTCCCTACAGTTCAATTCTGTTTGAGAACCATGGATATTTGAAGCAGATGAGAATACCAGGATAACCTGATCCAAATCCTTCTGGTCACAGATGATGAAACTGAGACCATCATAGGGAAACGTGCCAAGAACAAGGAAAAGAACGTTGACACAGATGCCACAAAGGTTCTGCACCAAACTTTCCCTCCTGGCTTTCTACTGTAGTATCTTTCTCAACATCAATTCAACACTCTATTAAAAAAGACAGAAAAGGCCCCAAGGCTAGAGTTTGTATCCATTTAGCAATAGTGATCCCTGTTATCAAACTGTATTTACTTTCCAGGACAGTAACAAAGCATCATCTGATCACCAGTGGGTCCAACCACTAATACCATCAAGCAGGAGTCAGCGATATTAATCCCACCCAAATGTGCGACCTACTGGGCAGTTGTTGTGGAGTTCCCTGCACCTCGATGTCCAACATCCAGTGGTATTCTTGGTTTCCAATACTTGGAAAATGAAGATTTCATGTCACAGCTGTATCCTGGTAATGGCTTAATGATGATAAAGTCAACTTTTCATAAGAAAAAAAAAAAGGATGGGAGCAAAGATGAAGACTTTAGGCCAATAAGCTCACTGACATTTAAACAAGTATATAAACCAGCTTCACCTATCAGAAAAAAAAATGTTCATGATTCAAAGTTTCTAGGAAATACACATGTTCCTTAAATTGTTATACCTGTAGTTAATAATCTAAGCCAAATTAGTAATCTACACCAGTCTCACAAATTCAATTTAAAACTAGGCTTTCAGTTTAACTTTCTCTGTAAGATTTGACACTCACCTCGCACTTTGCCTATGGTTTTCCTGGAGTTCCTGCTCATGATGGGAAGTGTAAGGACCCCAGCACTCCGCCCACTCTCAGCAATGGTGGATGATAAAAGGCACGCTGTGCCCACGTGTCCTGGGAAGGCATCACCTTGAACGACATGCTCACTGAGATCCTCCTGAAAAATGAGGTTCCAAAGACTGGATTATTTTACATTTTCAATTTAAAGATTAAAGAATTCACTTAAAGTCAACTTAGATTCTAGGAAGGGCTGATGAAAAAGAAACACAGGGCTGGGGATTTAGCTCAGCGGCCTAAGCATCTGCCTGGCAAGTGTGAGGTCGAGTTCAATCCCCAATACCAAAAAAAAAAAGAAAGAAAAAAATAAACACAAATTTACATTCAATTAAGACAGCTTCCTTGTAATAAATACATTTTTAAAACTCTGAGGTTAGCCTGGGTACATAGTGAATTCAAGGTCAGCCTGAACTACACAACAAGACCTTGTTTCAAAAAAAGAAAAAAAAAAAGAAAAAAAAAAAAAAAACAGCGTTGAAGACTTAGCTCAGTGGCATAAGCACCTGTCTGGCAAGCACAAGGTCATGAGTTTGATCTCTGTACCAAAAACAAAGCAAAACAAAAGAAACCTTCTTCTTGTGTTTTGTTCTGCTTTTATTGGGACTGTGTCTTACTATGGGGGTGCCAGGATTACAGGTGTGCATTGCCATACCATTCTCATGCTGTACTTTTACTGTCAAGTTCCACAGATCTTACTGCTTAAGATCTAATTACAGATGTTAAAAGTATGTAATTGTACAGGAGATGCTTTGAATTTCATACAATGCAAGGTAGCCCAAAAAACTACTCACAAAGGATATATCTACATTGCACAATTCAAGGATTACTAATAAATTTGTGTAGCAAGCTTACTCTGTAGGTTTAATCCATTCCAAATTCCCGTTCTAGAGAACCTGTGGTCAGGTGCTACTACTGACCACACACTCTCTACTCTCAAAAGTTTGAACTCTAATCTAGAGGAAATGAGAGCAAAGGTGGTAATGAAGCTAGAGGATAACGAAGCTGATACCCATCAGTACTGGGCCCAGCACGCTGCATTCAGGAACTGAGAAGAAGTACCAAGCATTATTTGTAGGAAGCACCTGAGGAGCTAATGAGCTGACAAGCTCCTGGTCTAGGTACCACAAGGAGCTTGTGAAAGTTAGCAGTACAGATACCACACAACCAGGGACAAATTTTTAAACTACTTTTATTACTAATTTGTAACACTAAATTATAAAGTCCACTATTACACAACAAATACTCTCGATAAAATGCCTTCGCAAAAGAGCTCCACCTTGAATGGGGTTCCATCATGCTGGGTACATCAGCCTGCTTGGGCCTCTACTTATCTTTGAAGGCTCCTCTGTATAAACTTTATTTACAATTAGACTGTTTAATGGGCACAGACATGAAGACATATATTTTTGATCTGAAACAACAATTCTATTGGAAGTTCTCTTAATTACATCCTTAAAAGTATTTGAGTTTGCTAAAATGTGTAAGAGCAAATATCTAACAAGTTCTTAAGAATCATGACTTTACAAAATTAAGTTCAAATAAAAAATAAAATCGTATCTAAAAGAAGGTCTGCATTTCTTGTCAACTGAATCACTGAAATAACTACTCACCTCAAAAAAATCAAAGATTAGTTCTAGGTTATCTGGCTCCATGGTCTGTATGCTGTACTCAGTCCAGCGGTCAGGCTGTAGGCCGTACCCACACTCTGGCTGGGAATGCCTGCACTTGAACTCATTGTCACTTATCAAGGCTATCTCCAGGGTATTGGACATTTTATGAAGAACAGTAGGAGACACCCTGTCATCATCATCTTCTTCCGGACCCTCAAGTGTAAGCTTTACCCTACGTGATAGGAAGAAAATGATGAAACACATAAGCATCACAAAATAAAATTTATACAGGCATGTACGATGATGTACAGAAAAATTGTTACTAGTGAACCATTTATACAAACTTTTACATCAACATCTACAACTGATATAGGCTTATAAAACACAAATCTGGAATTGCTCTAATTACTATCTTTTTTCGTAAGATTTTTTTCATTTTCAAGCCACTGTGAACTTTAAAACTCTAAAGGCTAAATGATCATTTTTCTTTGCTTATGTCATTCTCCACTCGTTTAGCACAAAATCGTTTCTCTTTTAAAAAGTTTATTTTTATTTTCTTTTTTCTTTATTGGTACCGGGGATCGAACTCACGACCACGCACTTGCAAGGCAGGCGCTTATGCCGCTGAGCTAAATCCCCAGCCCCAAAAGTTTATTTTTATACCAGGAAAATTTAATAGAATTTATGCATAAGCATAGAGACCACTCATCTTAAAGAAACAAATTTTTCTGGTTCCAAGTGTAACAACAGAAATTTGAGAGAAAAGGCCAGCTCACTATTATAAAACTCTGCAGTTTTTAAAAAATGGTGACATTGCCTATAAGAAGTTTTTTATGTTTACAAACAAAGTCAAAAACTAGAAAGACCAGAAATCTACATTAGTAAAAATAAATGGCTATAAGAACAAAAGCACATGGTTATACCTAAATCTAGATTTTTTAAATTTTTTCTTGGTTATTGAGACTGGAGGTTTTTCAGAATAATGCAAACGTAATCTTATTTCTGTTTGACACGTCAGCCATCCACAATCCAGGGTTTCCACACCATCTGGCAAAGTAAATATAAAACCAAGTATTATTAGCAGGTCCTTTAAAACAATTTAATACATACAATCCACACTGACTAGTGAATCTTTGTCTAATAAAAAAACTAGCAATTCTCATTCATATTCGTAATTTAATACACTGACCTTTACAAAAATATTTTTTTAAACCCCTAAAAGCAAATACAAAGATAAGTATTAAATTTATCTCAGGAAAAAAAACCCAAAAACTTATATGAAGGGGAAGAAAAGTTAGACAACTAACAACTGGGTACACATTCACTATTTTAGTAAAATATTCTTATTGAACCTATTACTGAAGTAATTCAAATCTATTTCAGAGCCCATTTTCCAAGAAGTTTCTTAACCTAGCAAATGTTGCATTAGGGACCACTATTCTACTTCCAAAGACTCTTATGAGCTATTTCAACTGTAACGAGCTATGCCACTAATACTATAGATATGAGAAATTATTTATAACAAAAAATAAGAGTTAAGAAAACTGTAAGTCAATTACGTACTCTCATACAATGTCATAAACACATTACATGATTATAAAATGCTGTATTAACATTGTTAATTTGAACTTACTTAGTAACATAGGTAATAAAAATTTTTATGAATTCCAGAAACACTGTCAATTCATTTTGATGTAAGCTTTTTCATCAAAAGGGCTTTAAAAAAAAAATCAAGAAATGTCTCTCTCCTCGTGTATAATTTAAAAACATTTAATAACTATCAAATTTTAAATACTGGTTTTAGAATGGACAAAGTCAAAAGAATACCTTTCTGTCCTAAAAGCTAATAAAAGCTAAACTTAGGATAACAAACCCCACCAAAAAAAAAAAAAGAAAAACGAAAAAGGTGAGGAAAGAAACGTCATTTTTTGGCCATACACAATATATAAAAGGACACAATTCTGTGCATTATAGCTAAAGAAATGAATGTTTATTCTTCTTTGAAGAAAGCTCTGTAAAACAAGTACTATGAATAACATTTGTGAATAAGGCAAAGCTAAAATGAAAATCCCAAATGCTGGTCAACTATTAAAAACTATATTACGATACAAAGAATTCTAAATGAAACTCCAGAAAAGCAGTTCAATTCTGGCCCAATGTTGGCAGAGCACGCATACTGCTAATGTGTATAAACACAAACAGGAAAACCACAGCCAACACATCCAGGTCCTGCTCTTTCAGTGCTTGCCAGAAAAGCAAACTGGTTATCGCAATTTATCTCTGGCTCAGAGTTAGCACAAGCATAAATTCCACCCACCCTTTTCCACCTTTGACTCCTAAGGTAGAGTTTTCCAAAATAAGAATGCATGCAAGTTAGCAGCATAACTTGAGTTCCAGTCCCTGAAGAAAATCTGAATCCTCAGGATATTATTTACTGAAGCAGAAAAGCATGCAAATACTTGGCACTTTCAGTATACTCTGAAATCAGACATTTTCTATGTTACTGTAAATTAAGCTCCAAAACCCAGCCAGATTAATTTTACTGGAAATTTATGTGCTCATGTAAACACACAAACTTAGCCTGAGTAATGTTTCATACCTTAAGCGTTTAAAGCCACCAATTATTATTTTAAATATTAGTGTTAAAGAGATGTTAACTGTTAAGTGTACAATTTTTACAGAGGAACTTTTTGTTTTGTTTTGGTGCACGTTTGCTTGTCTGTTTTGAGACAGGGTCTATGTATTTCCAGCTGTCCTTGAACTGTGCAGCCCTGGCTGGCTTCAAATTCATGACAATCCTCCTGCCTCTACCTCCTGAGTGGTGGGATTACAGACATGCACCATTATGCTCAAAACTTGTTTTTTTGTTTTTGGTACTGAGAAGGTACTTATGCTACTGAGCTAAATCCTCGGCCCAAAACTTTTTCAATATTTATTGCGTTAGAGAACTATAACCCAATACATGTACGTACTGCTTGATGGGTTAACTAGTGTATTAACTAACTATACTAATTATCACTTCCCCAAAAAAGTATACTGCTTTTAATTAAGATAAAGTCAAATAACTGAAATTACCAATCATCCACAATAGTATTTTATCCTTTTGGTGTAAGGCATAAAAGTGTAAAGCGTAAGAATTACACTGGGTAAAATCAGTCAAAACAAGACAGGGAGAGCAATACAGGGCTTTAAATCGAGTTAATAGGAAATCCAAAAAGTTACTATAATATATCCTGCTAATTTTAAAAAATTTTTCCCTTAATTAAAAAAATAATAATAATAAATATTTTTTTTTAAAACGGGGTAGACTGAGATAAAAGAGGACACAACAATATAACAATACAGGTCAGAACAGAACAATTTAAGCAACACAGTGTTGTACCACAAGATAACCCGACTTAATACTAATTATCATAGTGTCTCTTTCCTTGAAATATTTTAGTATAACTTCATATACTATAGCATCCAACATATCAAGACAGTGTGAAACCATTCAAGAGGATGAAAATGTTACAAAGGTATTTAAAATCAGCTAACAGAAAACGAACAATGATTTCTTTATTATCTCTTTGCCTATAAAAAATTTTGTTTATACTATCACATATAATAAAATCCTGTAAGACACAACATGATAAAAGCAATGGGGACAGAAGAACAACAGTTTGATGGGACTTTAAAACAAGCTGATATTAAATCAGCACTAGCTATTATGTCTTTTCTTCAAAATAGCTGTTCATATCACAGACAATAATATCAAACCCAGAATAAAACCATTGCAATTAATGAGTGAAAACTTTATAAGACTTCAAAGCCATATAATGGGGAATCATGATTATCACATACTTTTATATATTTGTATCATTTCTTACACTAGGGAAACTATTCGGTATTCATACATGTGAGTTTGGTCTATTTCACTTATGAGTGTGGTCTCAAGCTGCGCCCATTTATTTATAAATATCTCAATGTGATCCTTCTTTATAGCTGAGTGGTACTGCCTTGTATAAAAATACGACTTTTTTATCCATTCCTCAGTTGATGGACACTTAGGTTGTTTCCAAGACCTGGCTATTACAAATTGTGCTGCTATAAACAGGGTGCACATATATCGCTGTGATATGTTTTCAGTTCTTCTACACAATGTTTGCACCATTCTACTTGTTTTGACTGATTTTACTCTATTCTGTTCTGTTTGATATTACCAATTTTGAGGGTATAGGTAACTACTTTGAAGGCAATAAGATTCACTATGATGCCCATTCTGGGGTCTGACCATTATCTTCTTTTGAAGTTCAGTAATATCTCCAATGTTTAGATTTTATTGGTTTTGTTGTGTACTGTTTTGCTCAATTTTATTATACCTGATGATATAGGAAATTCTTTTTAAGGTAGCAAGAGGCATTATGGTAACCATTGCTGATTACCTTGTATTCTGTTTTCACATCATGTTCTATGTCCATCCTTTTGTTTTGACTGACTCTGTTTTGTTTTGTCACATTTGGTTTTATTCTCTTCAAAAAAAAAAAAAAAGTAATAACTGTAGAAGTAATAAAACCCAAAATGTGTAAATGTTATTGTATAAAAGAGAGGAAAAGAAAGTGCTCTAAAGGACACAACTGCAAGTATGCTTAGGTGTGTAAGATAGATGACCATATTACTAAGTTTTTGTTGGATCATTGAACACAACTGTTTGCAGTCTCACTGAATGTCCACTTTGTACGCTTAATTTTGTAACTTGATCAACTATTTCTAAGATGACAATATGTAATCTATTAGTGATTTCCTGTTTTTTTTTTAAAATTCTGTATTACTTGTATCCTTTTACTGTTTTGTTTTTTGTTCTTTAAATAAGAAAAATACTTTAAAAAAAAAAGAATTACACTGGGTCATTCATTACTTGCTACTTTGCTGCCTTCTGCCCTCCATGAGCTCTTTCTTCTGTGATGCCCCTTTACCATGCGATCCTGCCTTGGACCTAGGCGACTATGGACTAAAACCTCTGCAAAGTGTGAGCTAAATAAATACTTCCTCCTTTCTAAGGGGAAAAAAAAAAAAGAATCACACTGGAAACTATTATTTAACAGAACGTATTTATTTGTTGGGTCCATTTTCAAAATCAGACTTTATTTCCCAGTGACATGTATTTCAAATGAAATTTATCTCAATCACACTAGTAAATATTTTTAACACTCAGTCTCACTTACTGTGGATTCCAAATTGTCCATCGTCAATAATAATTTCACTTTCTAGAATTCAAGGAAAACAGAAAACCTTGTTAAAATTCATTGTTATACAAAATAAGTAAGAAATTACCAACTTTAAGGACTGTTTAAAATATTAAATCTATAATTTAAAAGCAGCCTAAAGTGAATAAGCATATTTATTGTAGCCCTCAATAAAGAATTCCCTTTGAAAAAAAAAGAGTCTAGCAAGCACTCCAGTTCTTACTTTGGTTTTTATTCACAACAGTGGAAGAAATAGAAAGAAAACCCCTCAGGGAGGTCTCTAGAGGCATTGAGAAGACTTCTATACCGCCCAACGGGCGGCTGGGCAATGAAACTTGTCAATTATTTTCAAACAAAAGGTCTTGGCACAATTAAAATGCTTATTCTTAGGTAGTGCACATTCTGAACTTGTCTAACATAATTCTCCTGAAATCTCAATTATTTTCTATGGCCAGCTAAAAGCTTTTCAAGTGATACAAACTTACCTTTACATACACAGCTCTGAGAAACTACCAACAACAACAACAACAACAACAACAAAAAAACCCTACATGCTAACATATTCCCTTCTCCTAACAGTTCAATTAAATAAGTAAAACTGTAAAGCCCTAGGCCTCTAAGTAAAATGCTAATTATTGTTGCTTCCTACCTCCCTTTCCAGTTTACTTTAAATATAGTCTGAAATATTTTTTAAAAGAAATGCTATAGTTCCTAACAGATTCTCAGGTAGATTTCACACAGCTCTCAAAAGTTTTATTTCCCAAAGCAATAAATGTCATTCTAAAAGAACAGAAACAAAAATCATCCACTTTGCATGGTAACAAAGCATACTGAAGTGCAAGATGTTTTAACTTAATACCTAGTATGTTCCAACCTCAGTATGGGACTATTACAATTCTACTTTCATAAAATTGCTAAATATACTATCAAATATATATTAAATATATATTAAATATATATTAAATACATATTAAATATATTTAAATATATTTATATTAAATATATATTATATATATAAATATATATTAAATATATATAAATATATATTAAATATAAATATACAAAAAGCAAATCCAATAAAGAGGATGGAATGATACCTCTACTTAAATAAGATACTATGTACCTGATCCAAGGCAAACCAGAAAGGCCCACTGCTTTTTAATCTTAGCTGTTAAACAGGCAACTCAGTTATACTTAGATTTTAAGTTTGCCTAAAAAATTAAAAGATATATTTTTCACCCCTAAGTCTGTTTACAGAAAAACAATGTAATGAAACAGATAATATGTAAAATCAACTTCATATTGTATTTTCAGGAAAAGTAAAAAATATTTGTATAAAGAGAAATGCCATTTTTAGGCACAAGTCTTATATTAAAAACAAACAAGCTCTCTGAATATCAATTCTAGCATAACCAGCAAAGAATTTTAAGTAAATTAGGAGGAAAATATGTAAAGTACTACAACAAAGAAATTTGAATTCATTCATACAAGTTTATTCAACTATTTATGAGCTACAAAAAAAGAGAGTAATGCTTCTATTGCTCTTACTCTTCAAATCTAAAAATTTGAAAGATTTCATTTTAGATTATGTCTTTCATCAAATATTATCTAAGCCTAAGCAAGTAACACAAGGCCACAGGTGCTTGGTCAAGAACCTTTTTTTTGTTTGGTCTTTGAGGTAGGGTTTTGCTATACAGCTCAGGTTGGCCTTGAACTCGCTATGCAGCGCAGGCTGGCCTCAAACTCACAGCTGCCCTCCTGCTCGCCCTACTGAGTGCTGGGATTACAGGTGTGTGCCACCACGCCCCATCAAGAACACTTCTTGTAAACTTTCTAACACATCCATGAAAACAAGCACTTTATAATAAATTAATCTAATCCAAGAAACTAAAAGCAACTAGGCAAGCATTTCTAATAAAGTTTACAAAGAAAAGCAATTAACTGTTTAGTTTTTGAGAGATCCAAGAAATGCTAAGTGAAATCTGTAGTGCTGATAATGCATTGACTTTAAACTTTAGAATAAATTTTAATAAATCCCACTAAGCCATTGTGCAGCATATTAGTAACTTTATGCATATGCCTCAAACAGATGCAGTTAATGCCCATACCTAAAGGGGTTATTGATCGTGGTTGTAGATGAGTCTCCCACTTGTGAACTATGACTTGACATGGACCACCGATAGTCTGCAATTTAAAAGTTAAACGTCTGCAATAATTTCTTATAGCTTATTTTCTACCCATTAGATGTTTGTGATCTAAGTATTATACTAAATATGAGACCAAGAGCTTCACCTCACTAATTATCAGTATATATGCCAAGTCAGGTATATAACCCAGTCACAAAACATGAAGAAATGCTGGAAGAAAATAAGGTAGTAAAAAAAAAAAATCAGAAGAACTGGCACATGAAACTCTTAGACCCATTTGTACATCTGTCTACAGCACTAACTGTTTAAAAAGAAATTTTAATTTTGAACTGATATTGTCATAAGTTAACAACAAATATACTTTGGTATGTCAGCAGTAAAAGTATTACTAGATAAAGTTAACTGTCTCCTACTCTATTTAAAAAAGTCTCATGTGCTTGAAAAAACCCTAAAACAAGCTCACAATAGCAGGAATAGTAGAAATACTTCAAGATCAAAACTAACACAAATTACTTAAAAACTAAATGGTGGGGCTGGGGATTTAGCTCAGCAGCATAAGCGCCTGCCTTGCAAGCAGGCAGTTGTGAGTTCAATCCCTGGTATCGATAAAAAAGAAAAAAACAAAACAAAACAAAAAAACCTAAATGGTATAGAATTCTGTATGTATGGATGCAAGCATGTATAGATGATAACTAAGTGGAAAATGAGCACATATTCCACACATCATAGTAACTAGCATTTCTAACAAGCCCACAAAAACCCTAAAAATTAGGACACATAAACAGTAAATTTAAAGAATAAGTACTCAGTTTGATTCGTATGCCTAAGAGTTTATAAATTCATTTGACAACTCCTAATATTGTCTTCTGTTATCACGTTCCATTACTAAAAAGGAAAATAAAGCTATGTTAATAACCTACAAAAGCATTTTAAAGGCCAAAGATATAGCTCAGTGGTACAGCGCCTGCCTGGCAAACACAAGGTCCTGATTTCAATTCCTGACACACACACAAAAAGAAAAAGAAAAAAATTTAAATTTAAGTACATTTTAAAAAGCTTTTTAAAATAAGAATGAATAACCAACTAAGATATCCTGAGTGTACTGAAGTCTCAAATTTTTTCTTTTTAATTTTTGTTTTATTATTTGGAGGCTGGGCCTCACTGTATGGTTCAAGCTTGGTCTCAAACTCATTCATTATGAAGCCCAAGCTGGCCTTTGATTCAAAGTGATTCTCCTGCTTCAGCCTCCCAAGTGCAGGACTATAGGCATGTGTCCCTATGCTTGACAATAAGTGTAAAAGCATCCTATTTTTTTTAATTACTAAAAATAAAAGGAGACTATGTGCCAAAACAAAGCCCTTAAATACAATTTTAAAAGCAAAATTTTTAAACTGTAATCTTACAAGGTAGTACAATATCTAACATGTTCTAAGAAAACTTAGAAATATTAACAAGACAATGCAAAAATCATCTATTATCACACCAATTTGGGTTAATCTCTATCAACTTTTCATATAAAGCTTGAATCTTTCTCTAGACATAAAATATACCCCCGAAGACACCTGAAACATACAAGATTTTGTCTCTATACAGTATGTCTTTAGATACATTTCTGTATCTTACTACATTTTAATACTTACTGATTATGTAAGTGTGTCAAATGGCAACATGTATGTAATAGATGAGGCATATTATTAAATATCATGTGATTCTATCACTTAGAATCAAAGAAAAAATGCAAATAGAGCTTTTTCAAAGGGAAGAGGATCAAGAATTGAAGGAATGGGGATGGGGATTTAGCTCACTGGCTTAAGCACCTGCCTGGCAAGTGCAAGGTCATGAGTTCAATCCTCGGTACCAAACAAGATAAAAATTTTAAAAAATAAAAGAAGGAATGGAAGGGGAAGAGGAAGTAAAAGAATTAAGATGTGTTACATGTATATAAGTTCCACAGGATAAACATAATCATTATACACTGCAAATGTACTAATAAAAATATATAGTCAATAAAAAACTACCAAGAAAAGTTCCTTTTGAGGTTGGGAATTTAGCTCAGTGGTGTAAGTCCCTGCCTGGCAAGTGTAAGATTGTGAGTTCGATCCCCAGTACTATTCCCCCAACCCCTGCAAACAATTTTGCAAATTTTGAAGCCTGAGAACTAAAATAAAATAGCATTAGATATTTACTCAAATCACTAATCCTGCAATGCTAAATGAAATTACCTGTTTTTCTAGATGAACCCTCTTTGCCATAAGGGTACACTTATTAACTGACATACTAGGTAAATTTTTTTAAAAATGTCAATCAGCTCATCTTAAAATATGATAAATATCATCTCTCTTATATGGAGATACATTTAAATTTATACCTGCTAGATTTTCTTATAACTTCTTTCTTGACTCTTTTCAAAATACTTTTTAAACATCTAACTTTCCAACCTCCAAAGATGAAAATATGCACATTAAAAACAGAAGCACTGTTTCTTAGCAGCAGTAAGGAGCCACAATGAACTGTTCTGCTGGATGTGGTGATGCACACCTATAATCCTGGCACTTGGGAGGTTGAAACAAGATCACCATGAGTTCAAGGCTACCCTGAGCTACATAATATCTCAAAAAAAAAAAAAAAAAAAAAAAAAAGAACTATTCCGTGCTTTCTTCCTACCCTCCAGCTTCTCATGTTTCTCTGAACTGCCTCCCCTGAATCCCTTTCTCCACAAAAATGGTGTGAACTGATGTTCTTATAAAAATTATTAAGCAGGGCCAGGGATTTAGCTCAGTGGCATAAGCACCTGCCTGGCAAGCGCGAGGTCGTGAGTTCAATCCCCAGTACTGCAAAAAAAAACAAAAAAAAAAAAAACACAAATTACTAAGCAAAAGTGAGTTGAAATGGGTGTCACAAATATATGTCAACTCAGATAAAAAGTGGATAGCTAAAAAGAGAAGGTTTATTTTGCCTTTTTTTTTTTTTTACATTTAAGTGCCAGGTAAACCTCGTGCAATGCTATGCTGACTATGGTACCTCAAACATAGTCCTAGGATTAAAGATTTGACAAATCAATTTTATTACTGTTTTTAAACATCTTCACTATCATCTACTTTATTACCAACCATTACTCACATCACAAAATCACCTGATTTGAATAGATTGAGGAGCAACATAATGTGTCAGCTCAACAAATGGGCTAACTGTCCATTCTATTAACACGGGAAATCCATGTTGGTTGATATACAGTGATATTTTTTTAAAAAACCCTACTTTTAAAATACAATGAACTTCCAAAATTGTTACTGCTGTACTAAACTTCACCAGGTAATCTTAAGTTTTAGCTTTACTAAAGTTCCTTAACAACAAAAAAACTATTGGAAAATTCGAATTCAAAATCTCGGTTTTTACTTCAAAACATGCAATTTTTTTCTAGTATGTTGGCTATAATAACTGATTCAACATCTGTTAATTCTATTTTGCAAAAGGCTGCAAAAACTTTAAGCTTCCGAAGTGTGGAAAGTAGATTCTAAGGAAAAAAGATCATTCTAAGACAACATTCCACTCACATTACTGTAAGAGTTCTTTCACAATTTGGCATATTTAAAGTCAGATGACTACAGAAATATTTAGCAAAAACTTAAAAATGAAATTGTTTCTGAAAAAAGGTCTTAATTATATTGCTTTTTAAACAGTGACATCAACTGGCTATATCAAGCACCCAAAAAGGAGGAAAAGATTATCCAATATGTAGACTGGGATTTTTTTTTTAAGCCAACTAGCAAGCAAAATTTAGGGAGTCATATAATACTATTGCTTTCAGATATGAACTTTTAAAATTCTTTACTGCAGGGATTTAGCTCAGCAGTATAAGCACCTGCCTGGCAAGGGCGAGGTCATGAGTTTGATCTCTAGTACAAAAAAAAAATTCTTTGCTTTTTCTTTCCCTAATTTTTGGCTTTGTTTTGTTTTGTTTTGTTTTGTTTCGCTATTCAGCTCAGGCTGGCCTTGAGCGTACCCAGGCTGGTCTCTAATTCACAGTCATCCTCCTGCTTCAGCCTCCAGATGTGAGCCACCATGCCCAGCTTTCTTTCCATAATTTTAAAAACATTCTACATATAAAAAGGGGCTGAGTTATTTTATCTACAATGTTATATGGAAGCCAACTCCACTGTTACTTAAAAATCAATTTTTAGTAAGACCAAACCTACAATTTGTCACATAAGCATGAATAAAACAATGGAAGCCAGGTCAACAGACCTCTCTACCTCAAGTTAATAACTGAGAGCACGTAGTATTCACAAGAATTTTATTAAGAAATTTTTCAAAATGACAACCTCAGTTATCCTGAAAATAAACATTTGCCTCTCAGAGAAAACTGATTCTTACACTAAACAGTTAAAAGATCAAGTGAAATTAAATCAAAACAAGTCTGCAATGAACATAGGTGAGCAAATGCTGACGCCTATAAGCATTAGAAAGAAACATGCTATGAAAATAGACCTAGTTTCAAAAAGAAAAACTTAAAAGGATGTAATTAAAAACTTGCTAAACTGCCAAATCTGGGCACAAGAAAAGCAGAGTAGACATTGATTTTAATAAGATGTTTAAATTACACGTTAATTCAAAAGCTGATGAAGGCAAGAAATTAATGGACTATATGTGGACTATATCAATGTTCTTGTTCTAGGAATAGTCTGTTTCCCATATTTTAATAAAGTAAGAGTTTGTCTTGCTAACTCCAAAATTACCTTAAAATTCAAAATACTAACATCTGTGCTCACTTCAGTAGCACATATACAAGATATTAACATCTTATTTTAATTTCAGAAAGTGTAGAACATTTAAAAAAAAACTGACAAAAAGGATCTCAGTACTCAACTTCTAAACTAAAAGGAGTATGCCAGTAAAAGCAAGCCATGGAAGAGAAATTCTGTCACAATAAAATTTTAGTAATGAAAGAGATCTACCAAACATATAGTTCAAGCTCTTGTTTTATAGGGAAACAAACTACAGTCAAAAAGTCAAGTCGTTTGTATAACCTTAAGAATTTTAGTTTGGGCACTTCAACTGCCGGGTTAGACTGTATTCTCCAAGTTTTCTGATCCAGTAAAATTAATCATTTTTCTAGTTACAGATTTTTAATGCTTCCATTATTGCTTTATTTTCCTATCATTATTTATCTTTATAAAATATGTACAGCATTAATTTACATTATTTCATGAGTGACAATACATAACTGATACAAAGTTAAGTGATTTTTTTAATAAAAAAGTTTGATTTAAAAAGTGCCACCAACTTTTAAAAGAAAAGTGTCATGTTACTCTGGTGTGTGAAAAAACAGCCATCTATACGGGATCTTATGTAGCTATTTACTCTATTCCATGAAAACATACTTACCATAGCAGCCCCTGCATCACACGGTACATGTGTACACGATACAGAGCAAGCACCTACTTAAAGAAACACACTCACCAACATATACTGTAAACTTTTGTAAGTACTACAAGGGAAAAACTTGTTTTACTGTTAAGCAGACTTCTTGCCAATTTTCTCCAAAAGCCATTTTTCAGACTGGTTTGTTGCTTTTGATTACATTTTCAATGAAGAGAAAATACTATAGGTTGGCTTAATTTGACCTGTGTTGACAATAGTCTTACTTTACAAACTCTGCCCAAAAGACTCCTGGTTTTTCTTGTTCAAACTCCACTTTCCAAGTAAAATTTAGTTGTTTTTACATTACAAAGCTAAATTTCCTATCAGCATTCTCAAATTATGTTTTCTCTATATGACTGTTCAACGTAAGCATTTTGCCACGATACATAACAAATATACCGAATAAACAGATGCTCATTTAAATTAGTCAAGTGAGACTACTGTCAAAATAAGCCAACACAATGATCAACCATAATATAATTTATTTACTGAATATTTACAAAATATTCTTGAATAAAAAACGTAATAGGTGCAAAAGACAGCTGAAGTAAGTGTCAGTTTTATTGCTTCTTGATAATGGTGGCTGAGAATAAAGTTACAGTGACTACTTGTATTTTCACATGTAGTGATAGTACTCAAAGACTCCTAGGGGGAAATACCTACTTTTAAAAGGCCCAATTCATATTTTATTTCCTGTACCTCTATCCTAAACCCTTGTTCACATGCAGCCCAAGTGTACCAAAGGTAAAAAATTTTAAGGAAAACAATCCTTTCAGCAAATAAGTACTTGTAGACTACAGAAAAAAATCAACTTGTCTCATATTTTAAATACGAAAACAATCCCAAAATCATTGTGAAAAGGCAGGTTAAGAATTCGTATCTATTTCAAAGGCATTCAGAAAAGATCCTAGTTAATTAATACCAACTTGTGGAAAATGCTAAGAGAAATTACTTCTAATTTGTTAGGAGTTAAAACAATGCAGCCGCTAGGAGATGGCTACTGCAAAATAATTTTTCAAAGCTGACTACGTACTTCTCTAAATGTAGTTGCGTGTAGGATTAGACACAAAAAGAAAACCATCTGCAACTAACCAGTTTACAAAGGTCACAGAAAATGCATACCTATAAAGAATATTTGTCACCGAAACAAATCTCGTAAGACTTGCTGAACATACTTACTACTAGTATTTTACTTTTAAAAAATTCCATGGCCAACATCTGTTCTGAAATGGCTACTTACTTGATTTTAGGTTCTAAAATGTTACTGAGAGTTCGCTTCCTTATTTGACCACAACAAACTCATTTTACTTTTAATGTTTTCAAACTTAAGTCAGTTGCTTTTGAAACAAGTGGTAAACAAACTGGAAACTAGGTAAAGGAAACATACCTTTGGTTCTAAAAAGTACCCTTTGAAATAGCGGTACTGAATGGATACTCCTCTAGTGAGTGCAATGGTTGCTTTCCATAATGTGCTGCAAAAGATTAAAAAGAGCATCAACATTAAACTGAAACGTACAGGACCAAGGATTTAGCTCAGTGGCACAAGCACTTACCTTTGCCTGCCTGGCAAGTGAGAGATCGCAAGTTCAATGCCCGGTGCCAACAAAAAACCCTGAAATGTATAAAGACCCCAAAACTCACAAAACAACTCAAGTAAGGTCTGTGGCCAACTCCACCTGTTTATTCCTGCCCAGAGCTGTGCTCTGCCTTCCCTATCTATGTAGACCATGGGAAGAGAGTGGTCAATACTGTAAGAAGTACCCCATTTTCAAGCTATTTGCTTTCCTTGGACAGACAAATAAGAAAGCAAGATACATTCTAAGTTCCGAGGCTGTGAAGCAGAGATACGCAGGGAAGGAAAAACTGAGCGGAGACCCAATGATGAACAGGCACCAGCTATACACAGAGCCTAAAGCAGTCCAAACAGAAAATCCACGTTGCACAAAGGTGTAAGCCTCCAGGACCATTTTCTATTCACCTTCCACTCACCTGGGGAGGCTGTTAGGAGGTGTTGGGGATGGGGGGCTTTCAGGTCACAAGTGAGGAGCTAACACTGTTAAGCTACACTCATGTGGCCATACTCCATCCCCTCTGATAGCCCTGCAGGCTCTGCGGCCTCCTTAGCCTAGCAATCAGAATTTGTAACTTGTTTCAATTCACACATTTTCCTCTGATCTATGCTATTCTACCATTAACTAAAGCTGTTTCAAAGTAAAGCAGTCACTACTATTCATAAATTTAACTGAGTTTTAGCTCCAAATAAAAGGTTATTGGCATACAGTGTGGTATAGAAGCATTAGGATTGAACTCAGAAGCCTCACCCAGACATAGGAACTCTGGGGGTGGAGTCCCAGCAATCTGTACGTGAGTGACCAATACTTTAAGTATGACAGACACTGTCCTGACCATCAGGCAACCACTAATTCAGGATGCATAGTTCACCGACTGGCTGGGAATCAAAGATAGCCACACATGTGAAACATGTGTCCCTACTTTTCCCTGACTGACCTCAAAAATTCTTTAGCCTAGTGCTCTGGGAAGATTCATCCGATCTCTGCTACCAAAAAGCAAAAAAGAATGAAGGCAAATTTCCATGACTATCTCACATACAAAAAGTTGGACGGAGCAAGTTAAAGTAGCCCCACATGTGTACAGAAAAATTAGAGAGGTACATTTTGAAAACTGTGTTGAGGCCCCTCACTCATCTATTATTTCTCAATCCACAGAAGCAGAATCTGGGCACATGTGGTTTTTGAAGTAATTCTAGTGTGGTACTCTTGTTAACAATCACTAAGAGACAAAGCAATAAGTTTTTCTGCCTTTTTTTTTTTAAACTTCTCTAAGGAAATTAACAAAGAATGAACTATATTTTACCAGGTATGGTGGCATACATCTGTAATCCTGGTACTTGGGAGGCTGAGGCAGCAGGACTGCTATGAGGCCTTCAAGGCCAGTCTGAACTACATAGTGAGATCCTATCTCAAAAAATTAAAGGAACCATTAATGTTAATGGTCTCAATTCACCAATCGAAATACAAAGACTGGAAGAATGGATCAAGAAGCAAGATTAATGATAAACTGCATACAAGAAATACAGTTAATTCAAAAAGAAACTCACAGACTACAAGGCAAAGGATGGAAAATACTCCATGCATCAGAAGCCCGGGGGGGAAAAAAAAGCAGAGGTAGCTATTTTATTTGCAGACAAAGTAAATTTCAAGCCAAGACTGACTGACATGAAAGTCACTATATCCTCAGAAAGGGAACAACCCAAGAGGAAGAGATAACAATCATAACTATATATGCAACAAATACCAGTGCACCCAACTATATAAAACAAATAGTAATGGACACGAAAAATCAAATAAGCACTAACAAAATATATTCTGATATCAATACCCATCGTCACAAAAAGACATATCAACTAGACAAAAAAAAATTTAATGATGAAATGTTAGAACTGAACTAAAGCTTTAAACAAATAGACTTAGAAAATGTTTATAGAATGGTCCATCCCACAACATCAGAATATATATTCTTCTCAGCTGCACACAGGACATTCTGCACAACAGAACACATACTGGCTCATAGGTCATGCTTAGTAAATGAAAGGGAACTGAAATTATCTCATGCGTACTATCTGACCACAGTGCACTGAAAATCCATGGAAAAAGAAACCACAAGAACTTCATAAACACATGGAAATTAAATAGCACCCTCCCAAACAGTGGGTCACAGATGAACTGAAGAAATTAGACAGTTTTCACAGTTGAATGATGACAACACAACACACCCGTAAACTTAACAGACACAATGAAAATAGTCCTACAAGGGAAATTTATAACAGTAAATGCCCACATCAGGAAAACAGAGCAAGCTACAATGTAGCACAGTGAAATATGTGCACCCATGTTTATAGCAGCACAATTTGTAATAGCCAGATCTTGGAAACAACCTAAGTGTCCATCAACTGAGGAATGAACAAAAAGATGTGATATTTTTATACAATGGAATACTAATCAGCCATAAAGGATAAACCAGAGATTTTCATAGGTAAATGGATGCAACTTGAGACCACACTAAATGAACTAAGTTAGACACACATGTGAATATCGCACTATCTCACTAGTGTGAGATGGTGAAAGAAATTACACACACACACAAAAGATAGTTATACTACTGATTTCTCTGAGCTCACTGAAGAAAAGTCTGTGCTAGTGTCATTCACACAATGAAATGCAGATGTCTTAAACTCTGAGTAACTAATTTGAAGATAACAATATGTAACATATATACCACTGTTATCCCCAATTATCCTGTTAGGAAATTTTGGGGTTTTTTCTTTAAAATTTTAAAATATTTTTTAAAAATTAAAGGGAAAAAAAAGTGCACCATATCTGTATGTTAAGACAATGTAACTGATCGAACTCAAAAAGCCAAGAGGTTGAGTACAGCTGCCTGATTCTGAACTGGCCTTCTATCCTCCAAAATGTCCTAACACGCAAAAACAAAGAAAACTACAGGTGGCCCACATGTTCAGCATTGGTAGGAAAAAAATACAACCTTTAAGTTATCTTTTAAGTAGAAGAAAATTCCAGCAGAGCTCTAGCTGCCACATGATACAGAAGCCGGGAAGAAAGAGGCTTGGAAGCTCTTCAGACAAGAGGGGCGCAGAGACCTTTGGAGGCAGAGCACACTGAAATCCCGATGAGCCACAAGAATACAGCCCAACAGCAAACACATTCCCCTGTACTCATTTCATTGCTTATTTTTCAGTTTTGTGACTAGGTCTTGGGTCTCAGCTACGTAGTTCGCTTTGGCTTTGAACTCACTATTGTAGCCAGCTTACAGTGACCCTCTTGCCTCGGCCTCCCAAGTGCTGGGATTACAGGTATACGCCAGCCTTCTCTTGTACTCTTGAACAGAACTTCCTTTCTCCACATGAAGCCCTGTTTATCCACCACTGAAGTCACTCTTTTTCAGAGTACATCATCAGTGTGGTCCTGCCACACAGGCCTATACTGCCAGCTACTCTGGAGGCTGAGGCAGGAGGATCAAAAACTCAAAACCAGTAAGATACTCTCTCAACAGAAAGAGGGCAGGGAGTATAGTTCAGTAGTAGAGACCCCTTGGGTTTCAGCCTAGTACTACCAAAAAAAAGAGTGGGGGCTAAGTGTGCTAGCACACACCTATAATCTCAGCACTCCACAAGGCTCAGATGGAAGACTGTGAGTGTGAGCCCTACTCAGGCATACCTCACCTCAAACAATGGGGTGAATGAATAGAAAGGTACTGGGCTTGACCCCTGATGCCATAAAAATCTAAGTGTAAATAAATAACTGGCTGTGCCCTTCTTAGCTTAGTGTTACTCCTTTCACATCACTTTGACCAGGAAGGCTAAAGGCTAAAATCAGCTTAAGCAGAGGTGTTTTTCAGAGACAAGTTCAAAAAGACATGAAGTTTCACTTCACAGCAGTCATGGCTATTCTAAAATTCGAGGAAAAAGTGGCGCCATGAAAGAGATAAACATCTTGCCCTCTGTAAGCGCCTAGTAAAAGTCTAGTGAAGTCCAGGTACCAGCGTCCACACAAGTCCATCCCTCTCATAAACACAGCGGCAGACACGAGTCACACTGACCACAACCACAAGGGGTTGCTCTGTGCCGTTCTGCTGTCCTTTCCTTGTTCACCTAAGGTCCTAGCTCACTGCCACCTCTGTGATCCACATGCTGTGGAGGGCCAGTTTTTCATTTGATCCAACATGTCCAGCACCTAATTCTCATCTGCATATGCAGGAAACATGCCAAGTCCACAGTGACATGCATGGATGTCATGACCAAACTCGAACTGTGATGAACATCACTAAATGTCTGTTGCTCTTTATTTGTGTATTTGTCATACCATGGACTGCTAAGAAGTCTTTTTCACTAATGCTAGTTCACATTTTTAGTGTCCCTACTCTATAGGAAAACTGAACTTGAGCCTCCAGAATCTTAAAAAAACACCTAAGATGGTGCTTATACATAACACTTGCAAATACCCTCAGGTGGCTAAGTACCAACTCTACTGACGTCCAGAGTCCATCCCTAACACTCTACAATGGGCGAGCACTAACTCGGGCTACAGACACAGTACAGTACATGCTTAGTATGTGTGAGGTTGGGTCTGATCCCCAGAACCACTGCCAAATTAATAATAAAGAGAGAATGAATACTAAAATTCAAAGAATAATGCCTTGAATTTTGCTGTAAGCATGAAGGCAACACAAGTCTACTATTCAGAAACACAGTGATAAGTGCCAACAGGACCAGCCAAGAGTTTTAAATGGTAGAAAGGTGAAGACTAAAGAACCAAGGAACCTATTTCAACGCCCAATAACTTTCATAAAAAATAAAAAGTACAAAGGCTGGGGATGTGGCTGAGTGGCAGAGCACAAGACTTGATCCATGGCATCCTCCATCATGCATACTGATATTCTCTACACAGATGCTAAGCTTCTAATGTGAGTGCCACAATCACTGTACCTGGCATTCCCTTGCTTACCTGTCACCTGTCCCATTGTCTAGAAGAGCCACAGCATTTTGAGGGTTCCAGTTTCCCAAAGCAATGCAGCTTCCACATATTGCAAAAACTTCTCCTAAGGAAACAGAACAATCAAGTCTGAGGACAGTTTTGATTTTAATTTTAGCAACAAGAAAGCAGTTGTGCTAGTTCGACCAGACACAGAACGTCCTTCTGCTGAGGTGCAGGAGCCTCCACGAAGACATCAAGGGAGACGATTCAGGAACCACACTTGTGCATCCATCAAGCCCCAGGCCCTGGCATCAAGACAGCTTCCAATTTACAGGCAAAGGCTAAATTCCTAGAGGTCCTATAGAGAAATACTAACTAATCCTAACCAATTATTTCCCAAGAATTCAAACCATGGCTATTAACAAGCGAAAGATTAAAAAAAAAAAAAGTCATCAAAACTAGGTGTGGTATTACACCTGTAATCTCACAATTCTGGGAGGCTGAAACAAGGAGGAGTAAGAGCCCAGTCCAAACATTTAGCAGATCCGGTCTCAAAATAAAAATGAAATACAGCCTGGGAATATAGCTCAGTGCGAAGGACCTGAATTGAATCCCTAGCACAATAGACAGCAGCAATACAATTAAAAATGCCTCAGAACAAACTATTGTGGTTTAAAATTTAGTACTTCTTACTAAGACAATGATAACAGACTTTTTTTTGGTCTGTTTGAGACAGGCTCTATGTAGTTCAGGCTGGCCCGCAACTCACATGATTCTCCTGCCTCAGCCTCCCAAATGTGCCATCACGCCTGGCCTCACGACAGACTTTAAAAGTCAACATACAGTTACTACCTGTACCTGCTGAATTTTGTGTATTTCGCAAAAACCTGCAACTTCTTGGATATAAGTAAGTAAAGGGTTTTGCTGTGTATCAACACATTCTGAATTAAACCTCATAAAGAAAAACACAATGAAATGAGCATAAATGCCAATCTCAAGGCAAACTTCTACTGTGTTCTCAGAAAGGACTAGGTACCCCAAACGGAAAAATGAAATGGTTCACTTTGCTCCTGTGAGTGTCTGTCCTATAGATTCCTTGGAAATATTTATTCTGGGTTTGTTTTTGTTTGCTTGTTTGTTTTTGAGACACGGTTTCACTACGTAGTTTAGGCTGGTCTTGAAGCCACTATGTAGCTTGGGCTAGCCTTCAACTCATGGCAATGCTCCTGCCTCAGCCTCCCAAATGGTTGAATTATAGGTGTGTACCACCATCCCCAGCAATAGAATACTGATTCTGAGAAAAGGAAACCTTCTATTAGAAAAAAGACCTCTCTGTTTAGTTGGTCTCAGATTTTACTTTTATTTTTATTTTTTTTAATCGGTACCAGGGATCAAACTCACAACTGCCTGCTTGCAAGGCAGGCGCTTATGCCACTGAGCTAAATCACCAGCCCGTCTCAGTTACAAAGAGCTTTCTGGTCATAGTGATGCACCTCTGGACACTGCTCACACTGACAGTGTGAGCAGGAAGATATCAGTTCTGAGCCCAGAATGGGCAGTTCATTGACTCGGTGAGACACTATCTCACAATTCTAAACTACGAGTCACTTAACAAGGTTCTTTCCAAACAACAAAAAAGAACGGTGATACAGCTCATTGTGAAAGTCCCAGACACAACTCCCAGGAACACAGACACATAAAACCAAACTAAACCACAACTCAAACTCAGGAAGGGGACAAGGGTTGGAGGGAATGAAAAGAGCTGGGACTTGGCATGCACTTGTGTCAGCTCCCTGCAGGGAGTGTGGTTACTGTGTGCTGCAAGACGTACTAATAAAAATAAAAATTGGGCTGGGTATGGTGGTGCACGCCTGTAGTCCCAGCACTAAGGAGGCTGAGATGAGAGATCACTTTGAGTTCGAGACCAGCCTGAACTGCAGAGACCCTGTTTCAAAAAGACAAAAATAAAATAAATTGATTAATTAATTTGGAAAAGGAAAAACCAAGCCCACTCTAGTAACAATTCTTTATTTAAAATAATTCACAGAAGAAAAATGCTCACTTCAATTTAAAAAATCATGGTAATGTAAAGCTTTACCTGGTAAAAGAGATCCTCTTATTTCAAAGGTAACCTGAGAAGGCGTCATTCTGATGGATTTATCTTAGAATTCTTGCTAGGAAGAAAAAGAAAACTGTCACTTAAAGAGTACATGAAGACACTAGCATCAAATGTTTACCACCAAGAAACCATGTTAGGTTAATAACTGTTTGTATATTTTAAAACAGTACAGTACTTACAAAAAGAAAACAGTATTTAATGCCCTTGCAGCTTTATGTTGGATGTGATATTTTTTAAAAATAAGGAAAGAGTAAGAAACAAAAGGTGCCAGGCATGTGCACACCTGTAATCCAAGTGCTCAGGAAGCTGAGGCAGGAGAATCTTCATGAATTTGAGAACAACTTGGGCTACATAGTGAGGTGAAGGCCAGCCTGGACTACATAATGCTACCCTGTCTCAAAAAACAAAGAAAGAAAACAATTTTTTGGTCTTTTTGAGACAGGATCCCACTATGCAGTTCAATCTGGACTGGAGTTCACTTTGTCACCCAGGCTGTTCTGGAACTTGCCACAATCCTCCTGCCTCAGCCTCCTGAATGCTGGGATTTTATAGGTTTGTGCCACACCCGGCAAACAAAATTTTAAAAATTGAAAAAAATAAAGAATAAAAATGAGGAAAACTGAGTGCGGTGGTGCACACTTGTAATCCCAACACTTGGGAGGCTGAAGCAGAGGAACTGCAGTGAAGCCAGCCTGGGCTACAAAGTGAGTTCAAAGCCAGCATGGGACTATATAGTGAGATCCTGTCTCAAAGAGAAAAATTAAATACGAAAAAGCCCTGCATGGTGGATTACACCTATGATCCCAGGAACTGGGAGACTGAGGATCTGATGGTTCAAGGACAGCCAGCATGAGACTCTGTCTCAAAAAAGGCCAAGAGTCTCTTGTCACACACATTCTCTTACGATAAGCAGCTGCTTGGAATTCAATCTGTCTTTCCTGAGCAGGCTCAGGTTAGGAAAGAAAGAGAAAGAGAGAAAGAGGAAAAAACAAAGCTTGACTCAGAAGATTTATGGCTGTGGATATAGCTTAGCAGCACAAAACCTGCTTGGTAAGCAGGATGTTCTGAGTAAGATTCCCAAAAGATTTCTTACTTTACTAACAGGGAAACAAACAAGCATCCCACTCACTGAAACAAGCTAGTTATGATTTGCAACAACTTTAAGAATCTGGTGCTACAATATAATGTAACTAATCCTTCAAAACCCTCACCCCCAGCTGGTGGTGGTGATCCCTGTTTGTAAACCCTGTACTTGGGAGGCTGACCCAAGAGGACAGTCTAAATTTCAAGTCAGCCTGGGCTACAAAGTGAATTCTACACCAGCCTGAACTGCATAGTGGAACCCTGTCTCAAAAAGACCAAAAACAAAAACAAAACCTTCCTCCCAAATCAGTCTCTTTAAATTTTCTCTTTATTACCATAGGACCATCACTATTTAAATTCTGGAAGTCTCAATTAGGACCTAATACCAAATCCTATTGGTTATATCTAATTCATCTTGTACCCATGTGTCTTGGTTATGTTTCTCTCATTGCTAAGACAAAATACCCAATGCCAAAACTAAGGAAGGAAAGGTTTATTTAGTAGTTCAGTCTGTGGAGGTTTCAGGCCATAATCAGCTGGTTCCAAGGGCAGGGTGGTGCGGCAAAGGAATAATATATTGTTCATGGCAGCGGAAGACAGCAAAATCAACAGCAGCAAAAGGGGAGAAGATGAGAAAAGACTCTTTCTGTCTCTTATATGTAGGCTACCCACCCTAGGGTGGATGTAGCAATCAGAATCATAATCCCAGGACTGGACTATGAATCACAAAACTCTAGGAGCCTGTTCCCAGGGCTGCACGAAGTTCTGAGGAAACAACCAGCACAAACCGTAACACTATGCCATTGCTTCTAGTTAACAACTTCACTTAAAAGCGTATCTTCTAGCAGAGTCTAGTGGTGCATGTGATCCCAGCACAGGGAGGCTGAGGCAGGAGGATTTCTGCAAGTACAAGGCCAGACTAAACTACATAATGAGACCCTACCTTAAAAAACAAAATCATGTCTAGTACCTATATTTTAGCTTCCAAGTCTCTTATCAATAATACATTTTGTCAACTGGAATATCCTTCCTCACGTCCTTGGCTTGGAATAATTTTTTTTATTTATAGAAATCTAGACTTAACTTCAAAGGCTGGCACTCAGAGGTCCTGTGGGGAGAGACACAAGCAAGGAAGCTTGAGGTAGCTACTGCCGCAGCCTGCCGTGGGGCATTGCCTGGCATCTATCATACCTGTGGAATAAGCATGGAAGACTACACTAAAATAGAGAAAACTGGAGAAGGTATTTATGGAGTTGTACATAAAGCTTAGACAAAAAACTATAGGTCAAGTGGTAGCCATGAAGAAAACCAGACTAGAAAGTGAAGAGGAAGGGGTTCCTAGTACTGCAATTTGGGAAATTTCTCTATTAAAAGAACTTTGTCATCAAAATATAGTCAGTCTTCAAGATGTGCTTATGCAAGATTCCAGGTTATATCTCATCTTTTAATTCCTTTCTATGATATCAAGAAATACTTGGATTCTATTCCTGCTGGGCAGTTCATGGATTCATCACTTGTTAAAGAATTATTTGTACCAGAACCTTCAAGGTATTGTATTTTGTCACTCTAGAAGAGTTCTTCAGAGACTTAAAACCTCAAAATCTATTGATTGATGACAAAGGAACAATTAAACTGGCTGACTTTGGCCTTGCTAGAGCTTTTGGGATACCTACTAGAGTATATACACATGAGGTAGTAACACTCTGGTATAGATCTCCAGAAGTATTGCTGGGGTCAGCTCAGTACTCTACTCCAGTAGACATTTGGAGTACAGGCACAATCTTTGCAGAATTGGCAACTAAGAAACCACTTTTCCATGGGGATTCAGAAATTGATCAACTCTTCAGGATTTTCAGAGCTTTAGGCACTCCCAACAATGAAGTATGGCCAGAAGTAGAATCTTTACAGGACTATAAGAATGCATTTCCCAAGTGGAAACCAGGAAGCCTAGCATGCCATGTCAAAAACTTGGATGAAAATGGCTTGCATTTACTCTCAAAAATGTTAGTCTATGATCCTGCTAAACAAATTTCTTGCAAAATGGCACTGAATCATCCATATTTTAATGATTTGGATAATTAGATTAAGAAGATGTAGGGTTCTGACAAAAAGTTTCCACACATTATAATCCATGATGAATAGTTGGTATTTTTACTGTTGATTCTATTTTTGCTTTCTACATTTTTCTTCTTTGCTGTAAAACTGAAACTGTATTTCACTTTCTAATTTCAAAATATAACTTAAACATGTAAATATTGTTCTATATAAATTTAAATATAATTCTGGAAAAAAAAAAAGAAATCTAGGGCTAGGGATATAGCTCAGTGACAAAGCACCTGCCTGATAAGCATAAAATCCTGAGTTCCATTCCCAGTGCTAAAAAAAAAACACAAAATAAAAGGAAATCTAAAACTTTTAAGGCCTTTAGCGTCCTCATTTCTTTATCCACATATGCCACCTAGCAAATTGTTTCTTTTCTTCTCTTTCTCAGCCAAACAATCTGCTTACCACCCCCTAACTTAAAATAAATGAAGACAGAGACTAGTTTTACATACATATGCACATATTCAGACACACACACACACACACACACACAGACACATGTGCCTCAAGACAGTTACATAATTGAAGTAAAGCGCTATTACATGCTCTACCCAAGGATACATCATACACTGCATAAATTCTAACACCTCTAAAGACTTGTGCACATCAATCCAAAGTTCCTAAAGGAATCCAATCATGTCTTCATTCTGCATCATTTCCATTAACTCAGCTACATTTTATTTGCACTTAACAGATTACTAAAAGTACCTACTATGATTATTCATTCTTCTGATCTTTGCTCCCCTCTCCTCTCACTGAAAACGTGTAATTCTGTCCAACTGTCATCTGGGAAAGATTCAAATGAAGGAGTTGTTCTCAAGGAAGGCAATTTCATCCCCCAGAGGTACCTGGTAATGTTGGGCATTTTTGTTACCACCACCAGGAGAAATGAAAGTGGCTTCTGGTGGGAAAAGGCTAGAAGAGCTTTTATACCCCACAATTAATATAATAGCCCTCCAAAAATAACTGTCTCCAAACATCAATAGGTCTGAGGTAAGTCGAGTGTGTTGATGCATGCCTATGATTCCATCACTCGGGAGGATGGGGCAGGAACATCAATGTGAATTCAACAGCAAGATCCTGTCTCAAAGGGGGTGGGTTAGGTCCAGAATATGCACAAAGTAGGATCAAGAATCCTAGCTCAATGTTAGCTATAAACTGTATGTCATCACACTTACAGCACTACATGCAAATAAGTAAAATAAGTAAAACAAGACTATGGTGTCATGTTGCCTTAGGTAAAATATTGTATTTAGCAACTGCTCTAACATTTCAGTTGAAAAATTTAATGCTCTACTACAGAAAACTTGTTTGTGTAAAACTTCCTAGGATGACTTCTACTTTGTGTCTGAAAGTAATCTATTTAAAGTACATATCAAGTATATATCATATATCTTTAAAAATAAAAAACATGAAAGTACATATATCCAGATCTGGAAATGCCAAAAACCAGTCTCAACCTAAAAGTAGTTCTAGACTGTTAACATCTTAGCTGCTTATCTAAATATCTTAATAGTTTTCTTTTAAGATGATATCTAATGTCAATCAGCATTCACTGAGGCACTGCAATATTTTATTTGTATCTTATCAAAAATTAAGGCTAGGGGGCTGGGGATTTAGCTCAGCGGCATAAGCGCCTGCCTTGCAAGCAGTCCTGAGTTTGATCCCTGGTACCGATAAAAATGAAAAAATGAAAAGCCAAAAAAAAAAAAGAAAGAATTAAGGCTAAATCGGGCATGGTTAGAAGGGAAGACCTATAATTCCAGCACACAGGAAGTTAAGGCAGAGGACCTGCTGGGCCTATGAGGTTAACCTGAACTACACAGCAAGATCTTGTCTCAAAAACAAACAAAAAAATTAGAGACCCCGTCTCAAAAGAAAAAGAAATTAAGGCTAGCAAAACAGCTCAGCTTTTAAGCCACTGAGTGAATTTCGAGAGACAGCATTGGCCCCCACCCTCAGTCTTGAACTGGAACTGTAACCTCCACCCATTGTTCATTTCATAATTCTCAACTAAGGATAATCTCTTCCTTGTGATTACATGATTGGTACTCAATTCAACCACTTTAAAGGAAGTTAAGAGGTCATTCCCATGGAGCAGCTGGTACAAAATTACCTCTAAATTTCTCCTACATTAAGAAAAGCAAACAACTTATGTAAACTTAATAAAAGCAAAATCAACTGATTACAATACTAAAGTTGCTATGAAATACCTACAGTACCCCGGCATCAAACAGCTGCATAATTGTACTACACAAAGCTATGTACACAGCCCGGCATGGTGCATGGCTTGTAATTCCAGCACTCTGGGTAGCTGAGACTGGACGATCACAATTTTGAGCTCAATCTGGACAATTTAGCAACTTAGCAAGGCCCTGACTCAAAATACAAAATAAAAGAGTTTGGGGTTGTAGCTCTGTGCAAAGGCCATGGGGTCAATGGGGGAGCGGGCTCTGCACAAAAGCACAAAATCACCCCTCAAAAAACCACCTCAGAAGGCAACAAAGCACCATCTACCACCTAAATTGAAAACACCAACCACTTACTGCAACTTTCGCCTTCCAAAAAACATAAAGCCATATGGGAACAAAAAGCCAGGGAGCCACCTGGGAAGGCAATTTTAGCTGGTCACCAGCAGAGGCCACAACTGTGGTGCAGGACTGAAGCCTGCAGCTTCAGTACCCAACTACTATACCACCAAACATCAATGCCAGTCAAAACTCTTCCATCCAAGACTGGCAAATTCACCTGGGCCCTGCTTCCCAACAAGCAAAACACTGTAGCCTGGTAAGGCAACGTCTCCAGACACAGGTTTAGAAAAGAGGAAGGTGAAAAATGCTAGTCATTGCGCACAGAGCTGACTGTACAGACAGTGTAAACAATTCACATATTTCGTCATACTACACTTCTTTAGACAGGCTTTTTAAAAACAAAACTATAATCTTCATTTTGTACTTATGAAACATAGCACTCTCTTCTGAAATTTCCAGCAGTATTCATATTTTTAATCTCTTAAAGAATCAAGCAATTAGCAAAATATAACACCTTAACTTACATTAATAAATATTCATGCTACCTGGCAAAATAAACTTATTCTGTCAAATAAGCTGCGCTAATAGCTTGGAAAACCAATGAGAGGTTTAAGCAAACCAAGGGACAAGAGCACTTAAATTAGAGCTGAACTGAAGTCTGTATTTTTAGCTAAAGTACATCTGGCCAAAAAAATCTGTTCTCCTACAATATTTTTCAAGGAAAAAATGCTATCTTTAATTCTCTTTGTTCTTTCCTAGAAGCTTTAATCCCCCACCCTCTGGTTTTGTTTTGTTTCTTGAGGCAAGGTCTCACTAGGACAGTAGTATGGGCCGGCTTTGAATTCAGAGATCCTTCTGCTTTGGTTTCCCCAAGTGCTGGGATTACATGTATGCACCATCATACTTGGCCAGCAGCTTTCTTATACGTAGTACACGAGCCAGGTGTGGTGGTGCAGGCCTCTAATACCAGCAACTGGAAGACTAGAGCAAGATGACTGCTATTTGCTGAAGGCCAACCTAGGCTATATAGAGTTCAAGGCCAGCCTCAAATATACAGCGTGACTGTCTCAAAAACCCAAAACTAGACGTAAATAAAAAATAATCTATGAATTGAGTACGTTATCTTGACACCACTCCTCCGACCTCTATACACTTTAAACCAAAATTTAAACATAAGTAGACATTACTGCATTTTTATTAAGAAACCATTTCTGGAGTAATCTCATTAAGCCATATGAACTTCCTGATCAACTTTCTGTACAACACAGTAACATTTTCCCCAGCTTCATTTTATTGATACCATTTTCAATGTATATTGTATATTATTTATCCTATTCTACATTGTATACAAAGTAGCTTTTGTAAAAATCAAATTTAATTCACTGAATTTTCTTTCTTGGTCGTTTCTTTGCATCCAAGTTCCCTACACTTATGCAGATGTAAACTTTGTCTAGACAAAATCAGCAATGAACTGGATAGACTCTGTGCGGTTTTACTTCTTGCTTTGTGTTCTTTGTATCCAGGACATAAGAACAGGAACAAAGACTGACAGCTTATAGTTACTTCATTACGCAACAACTGTCACAAATGTAGCAAGAATTAACACGAAGCACTACCAGTCAGACTCCTGGAAAACTCATCACCAGATCCCAACATCCTGTTGGTTCAATTCGTTCCTCGGTGAGTCCCGCGGACTCCGCAGCTGCCTCAAGGTGAAAAATTCTCCCAGTTCACGCCAGAATCCCTTGATTGGCACCTGGGCTGTGTGAGGAGGGCGCTGGGAAACCACACCGGCCTGGGGTTGGGGTGTGGGGACTGACACGAAGGGGTTGTCCCCGAAAGTCCGCGAGGCGGTTGCAGCCGCGGGGACCGCAGCCTTCGCATCCGCCCGCTGCACCGCTGCCACGGTTACTCCCGGGCCACGGCGACCCTAGCCCGCCGACTCTCCGTCCCCAACACCGATTACTCACTCTGCCTCTCTCACTTTTTCTTTTCGCGGTCACAGCTCTTCGGCAAACTCGGGGACCCAGCAGATGTCAGCGCCCCGAGCCAGCCCAGGGCACCGCGCCCCGCCGCACGCTGGCGCCGTCTTTGTCCCTGAATCTGGCCCCAGTGCGTGCGCGGGATCCTGGCTGTCAACCCCGACGCCCCAGACGGACCCGAGCCGGCGGCCGGCGGCCGGCGGCTGCGGCTCCAGCAAACCCGGGACTCGCAGCCAGGACCCCGGCGCCACAGCGCCCCGGCAAGCAGACCCTTCGGCTGCCCCGTGAGCGCCATGGCCCCCCGCTCGCCTCACCTGGCGCTCAGTGGCCAGCGCCTCCGCCGCGTCCGGGAGCGAGGCCGGGCCGAGGAGCCAGACGCCCGCGCGCCTCACCAGCGCGCCTCCCGGCGGCCCGCGGCAGCGCCGAGCAACAGAAGCACCTCCGTTCAAACCGGTTTCAGCTGCTCCAGACCAAACGGCCGGGACGGCCCGCGGGGCGGGGCCTGACCTCACGCCCGGCGCCGTCTCGCCCAATCAGCGACCGCGCGCAGGAGGCGGGCTCGCACGTTCCTGGAGAGGGGCTGCGACGGCGGCCGAGGGTGGCCGGGAATCCCTGGGTTTCCTCCGCCCGCGTTCTGCGGTGACCCGGCGCGGGGTCGTGAACTCTGCCTGGGGTTTGCCCCGGCCGCTTTCGGGACGGCGAAATGCTGAAGCTGCGAGTCTGAATTCCCGTTTTCCCCCATTTAACGACGGAGACCCCGGTGTGGAGATGTACACAATTAATCCCTGCACGGAGAGACCGAAGCGGGAGAATCATCGAACCCAGGCTGTGAAAATAATTGAAATCCTGTTTCAAAAAATAAAGGAGTGCGATGTGTGAATCACCAGGGCTCGATCCCCAGTAACCCCCTACACGTGCGCGTTTGTACACACACACACACACACACACACACACACACACACACACACACGAGGCCTGATGCTTTCTGAGTCCAAACAACAAGCACACTTGGATTAACTACTAAAATTGAAAATAAGAGCCAGGTGTGATGGCAAGCGCCTGCAAACTCACCACTCAAGAGACAGAGGCAGGAGGATCGCTGCGATTTCAAGTCTCGAAAACAAACAGCATACCACGCACATCACCCACCTTTATAGCAGATGCTGAAAGCCTCCCACAGTGAGAGCTCGATCCCAGCTGGTTCTACTACCGCCTTCTGAACAGCTTTGATGAGTGCTTTCGATAGAGCTTTAGGTTTTATCAGATAAGTTTGTATTGGGGCTTGGAATCGATCCCAAATCATTTCTGATGATGTCACCGTTCAGTAAACAGGATGCAAGGTTTGGTTTGGTTTGGTTTATTTCAGTTTGGCTTGGAAGGTAGGGTTCAATTTTTCTTTCATTTTGGTGGTCCTCATTTTAATCTTAAATTCCTTAAAGAATTCAAGTTTCAGGCCATGAGTGTAGTTCATTGGCACAGCACCCATCTGGCAAGCGTGAGGCCCTGAGCTCAATTCCTGGTACCAAAACAAAAACAAAATTAAACATTGAAGTTTCCTAGCCAGGCATGGTGACCTATAATCATAGCCCTCAGGAGGCTGAGGCAGGAGGATTACTGCTAGTTTGAGGCCAGCCTGGGCTACAAAGAGAGTTCAAGGTCAGCCTGAACCACATAGTGAAACCCTGTCACAACAACAACAACAAAAAAAAAGAGAGAGAGAGAGAGAGAGAGAGAGAGAGAGAGAGACAGAATAAAAGAATTAATGTCTCCTGTTAATTATATACCATTATCTGTTAAAGTCTGCTGTTGTGTCTCCTGCTAACTGGGAGGTGATTTCATTCCTCAGACCTCAGAGATGACTTTTGTCTAAACAATTTGTTTCTTTTAAATGTTTGTAGTACATCTGTATTTTCCTGTCATCAGGGTTTTTTTTCCTTTTTCTTTCTTTTCAGTACCAAGGTTAAAAGGCCTTCTCACAGAGCCACATTCACGGCCCCTTTTTCTTTTTTCTTTTTTATATTGCAACAAGGTCTTTCCAAGTAACTAAATTGTTCAGGCTAGAATGAAAGTTGTGATGTCTTGCCTCAGACTCTCAGGGTGCTGGGGTTACAAGGCTGCACCACCGAGCTGTGGCCTGTAGTCACCATTCAGTGAAGCTCCTGGTTGCCTAATGCTCATAGTTCAAAATGGTAGGATAGGGGGGAAGGCCTAATGGATGCTCCTTCCCTAAATTTTGAAACGACAGAATTTTTTTCTTTTGAGAAAGGATGTCACTGAAGTTCAATTGGCCTTGAACTTGTGGCAATCCTCCTGAATGCCCAGATGACAGGTATGCACCACCCCGCCTGGCTTGAAATAACAATTCATGTTGACTCTGCATATTCTTTTGTTCCACACTGGCAGGTTCAGTCAACCACAGATCCAGATGTTCAGCAGAAAAAAAACTACATCTGTACTAAACAGGCACTGACTTTTTTTGTTTCATCATTCACTAAATAATATGATCTCACAGCTCTGAACTTAGCATTTGCATTGTATTGGAAAGTATAAATAATCTAGACATGAGTTAAAATATGAGGGAGATGGGCATAAGGCCCTTTGAGACAGGGTCTGGCTGTGTATCCCAGGCTGGCCTTGAACTGACAGTGATTCTCCTGCCTCAGCCTCCAAGTGCCACATCACGAGTGTGCCTAAACTACTTATTCATCTGCCTAAAAGAATTGAGGCTAAACAGTTTAGCTGGTTCGCTAGACTTCCTGCTTCATACAAACCACTAATACTCTTGGGATCTTAGTTTTATGGCTTGCACGGTGCCAGTTTTAGAGTTTACAAAGCTGAGATAGCATCTGCCTCATCAAAGGTAAGAACGCAGCGGGAAGGCGTCCTGTGTGAAACACCTGCTTGGAGAGAACAATGCTTTTGTTCACAGTGCTTTTTTCTTGGCGCCGAGCAGAGGAGCACAGACTCCTGAGGAAACCGCCGGGCGCTGCTCCGGCGCTGACCCTGGACAGCTCCTCCTCCGCGGTGCCCCTTGCTCGGCGCGGGGACCAGCTGCTGGCGGAGACGGTGACGGGTCGGGTCTGGAAGCGGGCGCGCTGCTGTGGCTTTGACCGGGAGAGCCCGTTCTGCCGCAGTGACCGGCTTGCAGGGCCTCCCCGACTGAGCGCGCTGTGGCCGGCAGGCCGGCCGGGAGTCGCTCTGGGTGTTTATCTCCGCTGAATGGTGCTCAGCTGAGCTTGGTGCTGCGGGTCCGCACTCCCCTCTGTAAGCTGCAAATTCCAAGAATGGCAAAACAACCCGGGAGAGTCTTCCCGTTTCAGCTGTTTGTGTTTGAGCCAGGCAACACCGTACACCACGTGTATTTTCCAGAGTCGATTTGAGCCCCTTTTTGTCTGCTTTTTAAAGCTGCATGTTGTTGTGCAAAAGAGCCAGATTAAATATTTTTTAAAATTTTTATCAGTACGTGTTTACAATACAGGATTACATTCATTTTGGGGAGTTAGTTCACATACATAACACACCTCAATTCTTTCTACCGCTGCTCCTCCTCCCAGAGCAATAATCTTTATGAATAGCCCACTCTGGTATACTTGAGCCATGGAGTAGCTGTTGCATCAGCCAGATAATAGTTCTTCTATAGAGCTATGGTTTGTAAGACTGATCTGCATGGAAGAATTAAGATTTAATCTAAGTAAGATTCCATCAGGCCATTGGGCCAGACATGATGGTGCATGCCAGTAATTTCAGTACTGTACCTGGGAGGCCGAGGCAGGAGGATCTAAAGTTTGAGTCCAATCTGGGTAACCTGGTTAGGGAGTACCTGTCCCAAAACTGAAAAAAAAAAAAAAAAATTAGCCCGGTGTAGTAAGACATGCATGTAATCCCAGCACTCAGGAGGCTGAAGCAGAAAGGTTGGCTGAAAAGTTGCTGTTTGAGGCCAGCCTCGGCTACATGATGAATTCAAGGCCAGGCTGAACTACATAGCACAACCATGTCTTTTAAAAAAAAAAAAAGATACTCAGTTTAGTAGGGTTTTGTTTTTGTTTGTTTGTTTGGTGGGTTGTTTGTTTGTTGAGACAAGGTCTCACTATGTTTCCTGGGCCCTCCCTTGTGTGTGACCTGCTCATGTCCCCAGTCCCTGCCCTTCATCCCATGGGAGGTAGGACTTCCGTGGGGGACACAGATGCTCAAGCCACAGTGCTGTTCACCTGCAATGCTCTCCAGCACTAACATGCGGTGTGCCCCCCTGCCCAAGGGTCCTGGAAGGGCAGTAATGCTTCAGTGGCTCCAAGGGGAAGTGTGAGAGCCTGCAGCTTCCCCACACTCAGAACACAGCCTCTGGCATCTGTGGCTCAGTCTGTCACCTGAAGTCCTTGAATAGGTTAGATTTGTTTTGTTTTGTTAGTCTGGCTATAGAGTTCAGGCTGGCCTTCAACTTGATATGAAGCTCAGGCTGGCCTGGAGCTCGTGGCAATCCTCCTGCCTCAGCCTCTCCAGTGCTGGGATTATAGGTGTATGCCCCATGCTGGCCCATTAGATAGTTTTTTTCTAATTAGGAATTGAACCCAAGTCCTTTGCACTGAGTTACATGCCAGCCCTTTGTTTTGTTGTCATGTAGTTTTTGAGGCAGGTCTTGCTAAATCACTAAATTGTATAGTCTGAGCTCAAATTTGCAAATCTCTTGCCTCAGCCTCCCAGAGGGCTGGAATTACAGGCATGTGCCATCATGCCCTGGCCAATATATTTTCTTTCTTCCTTTTTTTCTTTTTGATACAGGATCTTCCTATGTAATTCAAGCTGGTCTCCAACTCACACTGAAGCCCAGGCAGGATAATATATTTCCAAGAGCTCTCAGTGGTGGAACACTAACCACACTTAAGATGACACCAACACAAGTCGCAAAGAATTATACTGGCACTCAGCATCAGTAAGGTGTCTTATACACACAAGTACTAGTCCCTGCAGGCTGCCTGGGGCCAGATCCGGGGTGTAAATTGCAGTCTCACAACCGCAGGCCAGCGGACAAACCACACCCTGCAGTTCTGCCTCCTCTTTTACATAATGACTCAGGGAAATGAAGCAAAAGCGAGGAGACAGTTGGACAGAAGATAAACATCAAACTCGGAGACTGTAACCAATGTCTCCGTTTTAACTTTTCCCACGTCACATTTGCCAAGCATTTGCAAAACTCAATCCATGTTTGATTGCTATTTCTACTGCTAAGGAGTTGGGGTTCAGGAAATGATACCCCATAGAAAGCCTTAGTTCTGACCTGCCCTTCTGCCCCTCAACCCCTAGCTTCCCCCAAGGTAAGCAACAGAAAGTAGAATTCCTCTTTCCATGGCAGGGCTTCCTTATAAGAAGCCAGCCAACACCCTAGTGACATAACTCTAACCTGTCCCTGCTTTTCCATGGAACAGCTTGCCATAAAGATATTAAGGCCTGGGCTGGGTGTGGGGG